CTGGATCACAGATTTTTCTAGAAAAGCAGAAAACACAGAGATTGGCGAGATGAGCAATCTTCCTACAGGGAGAGATGAACCTATATGGTTCATCTCCCTTTCTCTGGTGTTCTGAGGATGCCCGCATAGGTCAGTGTCATGACTGAGCCATAGACAACCAGGAACTTGTTCCATTGTGTAGGTCACATTGCTCATTCTCCACGAAGGGGGGAGGGCGTGTTCTTATGCCCTGGGGTTACAGTTACTAAAGTGCTGACAGAAACTGCGGTGAGACAGCCCCCTCATTCCTTGCCACAGTTGCCTTTGTATGGAAGGACGAGCCTGGTTCAGGAATCAGTCAACTGAAGTTTGGGCGGCGGGGTGTGTGGAATCGGTTGCTAGCAAACCTCTCTCTGTGTGGTATTCTGCTGCACTCACTGAGTGTGGATATCTAGTCATGAATTGCGTTGGGCTTAAAGAAACAGCAAGTTAATATTGCAACCAGATTAATCCTACTGATGGAGGGATGCTGATGCACATCAAGCCAGATATCCAGGCTGGTTTTCCAAAGAGATCCTCTGCCCAGCTTACTCACGCATAGGCCTCAAAGTCTCCATTGTTCACAGCCTCGATCAGCTGCTCGGTTATCTTGATGATTTCCTGCTTGCGGGCTGCAAATGAAGGGACGAGGAAGAGGCAAAAGAGACAAGAAGAGGGAGAGATGATGTACAGTATCAGTGAGAGTGGGTCACATGCATGCCCAGCAGCCCTAACAGAAAGCACTACTCGGAGCCCAGCTTACACGAGCTAGCTGGCTTGGGGGACGGATGGACTTCTGCACTGTCAGGGACTTGGCTACTGAATAATCACATCAACAGCCTTTGCTGGGAAGAGATCCTAATTCCGCACGCACTTAAGCACACGGATCCCATTCACATCCCAGGAAGAGCACAGACATCCCCATCAACCCTAAAAAAACCTTAGAAGAAAAATAACAAAGGGGTACGCCCAGCTCTATCTGCCGATGGACGGCTACCCGGATTCTGCCCCTGACAGTTTGGACAGGGCTTTGGAGGCTGTGTCTTGGTGGTTACACCAGAGTCAGCTGAAATGAAATCCAATGAAGACTGAGGTCCTGTACCTGAGTCAGGGTGGGGTAGATTTGGGAAACAGGCTTCCTGTCTTCGTTGGGGTACTGCTGGTGCCAGCCCCAAGGGTGAGGAGCCTAGGAGTGACTCTGGACTCCTCACTTTCTATGGAGGCCCAGGTCACCACAGTTGCCAGGTCAGCATTTGTCATCTTCGGCAGGTCAGGCAACTGGTTCCCTACCTTTCCCCCCAGGATTTGGCTATAGTGTCCCATGCAATAGTCACTTCCAGGCTTGATTACTGTAGCTCGCTCTAAGTGGGCTTACCCTTGAATCTGATCCGGAAACGCCAGCTAGTGCAAAATGCAGTGGTGTGCCTGCTGACTGCAACGTCTGTGTGGGCATGCATTCAGCTAGTGCTATGCCAGTTGAATCGGCTACCAATTGAGTACCGGATTTGTTTCAAGGTGTTGGTATTGACCTTTAAAGTCCTATGCAGCCTGCAACCAATGTATCTAAGGGATCGTCTCTCTCCATAGGTGCTCCAGAGAGCCTTGCGCTTGGTGTACCAACATCTACCGGTTGTCCCCAGCCTAAAGAATGTCCACTTAGCCTCGGCCTGGGCTTTTTCTGGTGGAACACACAATAACAAAGGGGTACGCCCAGCTCTATCTGCCGATGGACGGCTACCCGGATTCTGCCCCTGACAGTTTGGACAGGGCTTTGGAGGCTGTGTCTTGGTGGTTACACCAGAGTCAGCTGAAATGAAATCTAACGAAGACTGAGGTCCTGTACCTGAGTCAGGGTGGGGTAGATTTGGGAAACAGGCTTCCTGTCTTCGTTGGGGTACTGCTGGTGCCAGCCCCAAGGGTGAGGAGCCTAGGAGTGACTCTGGACTCCTCACTTTCTATGGAGGCCCAGGTCACCACAGTTGCCAGGTCAGCATTTGTCATCTTCGGCAGGTCAGGCAACTGGTTCCCTACCTTTCCCCCCAGGATTTGGCTATAGTGTCCCATGCAATAGTCACTTCCAGGCTTGATAGAAAACACTGGCAGATTTCACTAGCACAATGTTCACTTCCCCACTAGCCACATACATGCCACAAAGGTCTAGCGGCTGCCCACATCCTTTCTGCAACACTGTAGGTCTGGAACACCCCTCATCTCTGTAGCCGGCACACATGGGAGATCTGGGGAGATGCAGGAATTTGCAAGGCACCCAAGCGACCCAGTTAGAGCAAGTGCGATGAATAATGCAAGGACCAAGTGGCAGAGATGGTGTCGGTGGCTTTGCCAAGGTCATCTCCTTGGAGCAGGAGCATTAGGAAACTTGTGCCCTTGCAGAGGCATCTATTTCATGCTTGCTGTGTCCTAATGTAGCCCACTCCCATCCCGAGCCCAGCCTCCCACCAGTTGTCCTTTGCCCAATACAATTTGCCTCCTGATCTTACACAGCACTGGAAAGTTGCAGAAAGACTAACAAAATGAGGAGAAGCTCAGGCAGAAAAAATCCCATTCACATCTCAGGAATTTGTGTGCCTGATGTACATCTGAGTGACAGTCTCAAAGCTCCCATCAGCTATGGTGTCACCATTATGGCTCTCTGGACATGTTTTTTTTTTTCCCCAGAGACCCTTGCGCTTGGTGGACCAACATCTACTGGTTGTCCCCAGCCTAAAGGACGTCCACTTAGCCCCGGCCTGGGCTTTTTCTGGTGGAACACACTCCCGTCGGAGATCAGGGTCCTGCGGGACCTATTACAGTTTTGCAGGGCCTGCAAAATGTTGGTGTTCTGCCAGGCCTTTGGTTGAGGTGACGGGCACCCAATTACTTGGCCTCCCTTGCTGAGATCTCCCTACTGTATCTGGCCCATATTCATGGGATTTATCACCACTCTTTAGTTTGTGGCCTAGTTGCTGCCAGTCATTTAGTATTGCTGGAGCTTTATGAATTCTATGTTTTGTATCACCTCCCATTTTAATTGTTTTAACTAATTTGTTAGAACTTGTTTTTAATGTCTTTAGAAATCCTATTGTTGTTACCCACCCTGAGCCCAGGCATATAAATCTAAATAAATAAATAAATAAATAAATAAATGGGTGATTCCACAGCTATTATAGATCAGAAAACACTGGCAGATTTCACTAGCACAATGTTCACTTCCCCACTAGCCACATACATGCCGCAAAGGTCTAGCGGCTGCCCACATCCTTTCTGCAACACTGTAGGTCTGGAACACCCCACATCTCTGTAGCCGGCACACATGGGAGATCTGGGGAGATGCAGGAATTTGCAAGGCACCCAAGCGACCCAGTTAGAGCAAGTGCGATGAATAATGCAAGGACCAAGTGGCAGAGATGGTGTCGGTGGCTTTGCCAAGGTCATCTCCTTGGAGCAGGAGCATTAGGAAACTTGTGCCCTTGCAGAGGCATCTATTTCACGCTTGCTGTGTCCTAATGTAGCCCACTACCCTTTCCCATCCCGAGCCCAGCCTCCCACCAGTTGTCCTTTGCCCAATACAATTTGCCTCCTGATCTTACACAGCACTGGAAAGTTGCAGAAAGACTAACAAAATGAGGAGAAGCTCAGGCAGAAAAAATCCCATTCACATCTCAGGAATTTGTGTGCCTGATGTACATCTGAGTGACAGTCTCAAAGCTCCCATCAGCTATGGTGTCACCATATGGCTCTCTGGACATGGGTTTTTTTTTTGGACCTTTGGCCTTCCTAAGCTGAAAAATGAAACTTGCAGTGTTTCTGAAGACTGAAACACGTTGTGTCCACTGTCAGCACTGCAAACAAGAATAACCCAACATGCTGCCTTCTTTGCTCAGGCCCGCACAACTTGTGACACAGCAAATCAAGGGCTGCCCACCAGGGGCTTGAAAACTGTTTTTGCTACCTGCCTGGGACTGCAAAAAAAATGGTGTGTCAAAACCTCTGGTGGGCTGCCATTTATCCCAGCTGGCTGTGCAGGAGTGGTAGCTTGTTCCCATTGCTAAGTAAAAAGAGGACTGGATCAAGACTGCAACTTTCACAATTGCCCATGGCTAACCTTTCATTTACTGAATGACCCATGCAATTAGATGTCTTCCTAACACCACACGTCTTAATCCTGAAATACAGAGGACTGCCGTTCTCCATTCTACACCTCCTAATTTTCATCTTCTATCTTGCTATGAAGCCCGAAATAGAGAATGTCTCTTACTTTGCGAGAGTATTAGTATCCCTGTTGTATTAGTATCTCTGTTGAACAAAGCAGTGGACATACATGTGCCAGAATGGCTTTGGTACTGTCTGTTCATATCTTGATGCCCTCCAAAATTGGGCTTTCTATATACATTCTTCCTTATTGTTCAGTCGCAGTCGAGTCCGACTCTTCACGACCCCATGGACCACATCATGCCAGGCCCTCCTGTCTTCCGTTGTGTTCTGGAATTTTCTTAATTTCATGTTTGTTGCCTCGATAACATTGTCTAACCATCTCATTCTTCCTACATCCCAGCTATTCCTTTTCAACATCTCCCCTTCACAATAAGTGAGTTCCCCCACTGGCCTTTATTTTAAAAATCCTACCCTGTTTTCTTCCAACAAATCTGAAAGCTTATGTCTGTCTCTTAACTTTGGGACTCAGCCAAATGCAACAATTCTAGAAAGAGATGCTCATCTCTCTTTTCTCCCCAAAGCTCATAAAAGTTGCCATCTATTAATTTCCCATCTTCACACAACTTTGCTCACTCTGATGTTCTCCCCACATCTCCCCAGCTTGAAATGAAAACTGATCCCAGGACGCTCACAGACCCTCCTCCTTTAGACCAACCCCTCTGTTCCCAAGCTAGAAGTAACATGAAGATCCTTCTCTGAAAAGGAAATGCAAAACAAATGAGGAAGAAAGATCCTGACAGTAGTTATAACCTAGAAGCAGCGGCCTTATGAGCTTGGAAAGAGCCCTGTCTGTCTGTGAGGATTTCTTGCCTTTGATCCGGGCTTCTCACTTCGCAAAACATCAGCTTACAGACAACGTCCAAATACAAAACAGCCACTTTGCATCAGAGGCAGGTCATGTAGATTCCCCTCTGTGATGTCATGTTTTTCAGATCTGTGCACATAAAAATCAGCTACAAAGGTGCTTCCAAATGACCTGTTAGTAGCTCCAGAACGTAGGAGTTGAGTTATTTTGGTTGAAGTGCTTTGTGAGCTCTCTTGACAAGCAGGTAGTGGTCAATGGGCAAGTCGCTCTTGGGGAAAATGTAAGGCTAGCAGAGTCACTAGCCCATGTTTACATAAGGGCAGCACATACTTCCAGAGAGCTCAAAACCAGGCCCAACCAACCCTGTCCGTGCTTAAGGTGGGATCATTCTGCAACATCTAAAAGAGGCTAAAGGAGGATTTCTGGAGTCATTCGTAATTTATACTGAGAAATGTGAGCATACTTTGGCCTGTATTCTCAAGTGTAAGGTGGTTTCTCAGAGAGCCCAGGTCTTGTCATCTGCCAGTGTTTGCACATGATAGGCTTTTAGTACAACCTTATTCTTCTTTATGTAGCAATATATGAGACAGTTTACGATGAAACACCACTGCACTGAACTAAATGCAATGGGATCTCCCATCCCAGAAGGCTTCCCTTAGCTATGCACATACTAAATCTTAGATGAGAGACAGGTGTGTACAAAACAGTGGTGGAAATCGTATCATCTGTGGAAATAATCTATAAATGTACACAACAAACCTGTGCCATGGTGCTCTCTTTAAGCAGAGACAGCTACTCATTACAATATGACAGCTTCCATTAGTTTTCATCTATGTTCTACCAAAGTGATGTCTATAAACCGAACTCTCTATTTCTCCCTATTAATATTCCATTCTATCCTGCCGAGGTCTGTCCTCACAGTCACTAATATAAACTAGAATTATGAACTTTTTAGGAAAAAAACATGGAAAGGGAGGGAGAGAGAGAGAGAGAGAGAGTCCTTAAACCACACTGATTGCAAGATAAAAACGCAGTTGAAACAAGTTAAGGGATAACTGATTCATCTTATGCCATCTTAAACCTGCAGAAAGTGTTGATGGCTAATGAAAGCAGGCATTATCCTGCTGCACATCTCTCCCTTATAACAGATCTCGTCTCCCAGGAAAAACAAATTCATTTTCTTTAACCTACCAGCCAAGCCGGTGCTTACCTGAGAGTTTGCCAGGCATGCCTGCATCCACTTTGAACTGAGTGCTCTCCATGTGCCCTGCTCTAACACTATCTGCATGGCATCTCAGCTCACATTCACTGGTGACTCCCTCCCTGCGAAATGTGCCAAGCTGTTATCCATCTGTAAATGAACACTGCTGCTAGGGACTCCCAGTTTCTCTGGAGGAGAAAGAGAGTTCAGGGTAGAGAAAGAAAGAGTGGACAACTTGTGACTTGCCATCTCTAGAGATGCCACCGAAATTCTCAGCCCTGCCAGTGCAACTTGAAAACTTCTGTTTCAGTCCTATTTCTCACTCACGCAAATTGAACATGTGTAAGGAGCTTTGTGCCAATTTTCTGTTGCCCTCTGCTGAACTTTTCCTGTGCAAAGCCTAAACATTAGTGGCGCATGACGGATTTTTCCTGTGCACTTTGCACCCATTTGTAATTTTTTTTGCATTATTTTGGCCTATAAATGGTATATAACTTTAAAATGACATAACGGAAACAAATGAATCAGGAATACCAGCAACAAAAAAGGATCATGACAGTTTACAAAAATTAAAAAGGCATAGCCATACATCCCTACTACAGGGGAAATAAATCTCTTTTCTGTTTTCCCCTTTTAGAAAGTGATGCCCTTGGAGATACGCTTCAGCCCCTACAGGCGACATTGTTTGAGATAAGACCTAAATCAGCTCAGTTCTACTAATCTCATCTCAGGAATCTGAGGCCCTAGATTTGAGTAGCATCTTAAAGACCAACAAGATTTTTTGGGGGGGGGGGTGTAAGGAGCTTTGTGCCAATTTTCTGTTGCCCTCTGCTGAACTTTTCCTGTGCAAAGCCTAAACATTAGTGGCGCATGACGGAGTGAGCTCCCGTCTCTGGCCCCAGCTCCTGCCAGCCTCGCAGTTCGGAAGCAAGAAATTGCAAGTAGACAAACAGGTACCACTTTGGTGGGAAGGAAACAGCGTTCTGTGCTCCTTGGTGTTTAGTCATGCCAGCCACATGACCACGGAAACGTCTTCGGATAGTGCTGGCTCTTCAGCGTGGAAATAGAGATGAGCACCGCCCCCTAGAGTCGGATTCGACTAGCTTTCGAGCAAGGGAAACCTTTACCTGTACTAAGGTGCTACTGTTCTACTTGCTGTTCTACATACCAACATGGCTACCCTCTGAGGCCCTGAAGATGCTCATAGGGAAGGTTCGGGCTGTTCTGTACAGAGATTTTAGGCAAAGATAAGGACTGGGAAGGAGAAGAGGTGGGAGAGAAACAGTTTATGGACAACATACTTAGGAGGCACTACTCAGGCTATGTGCCTGAATGGCAAGAGGCTAGATTCTTTATCCTTGTTAATCCAGTTAAAGTTGCAAGCAAGGCTTAGCAGCTCTTCTACAACTGCCTTTCTGGCAGCACCCACCCCAAGTTCTCTTTTAAGTTGTACAAAGACTAGAAATGAAAAGGCTGTGTATAAATGCAAAGGTCTAATCTTTGCCGGAAACAGTTATTTTGTTGCTCACCACTCTTGAGTTAATGTCAACGAAATATGTTGCTTAAGTTGTCAGACAATAACAAAATATAAGAATAAGCAAATGCAGACTTAAAGAACTAAAAATAGAACCCACAAATATATTCTAATACACTGTCACATCAAAGAATCCGCTTGGTACTACAATACGCTGGCCACAATCTAGAACAGAATTGGCAGTACTTAAGTCCTTGTGATTTTGACACTGCTAACTCTATGCTGAATTGTAGCTGCAACTCCTTTTACAAAATTGCACAAATCTTAGCTGCAGAAGCCACAAATCTTGGGAGTACAAAACAGCAGATGTAACAGACACAGGTTTGACTCACCCTGTGAAACAAATATACGCATTGGATTTATACCCCATTTTAGCATATCAGCACTCCTTGCTATAAGGATGGCTTATAGGGATGGTGATCTTAAACTGGGACCTGATATTGCCCAATTTCATTCTCATTTAAAAAAATAAAACAGGAGCATCATGTATCAGGACATTTAAATATTTGGACCTTTGAAACAAATATTTATTTAATCCATTTATACCCTGACTTTCTACCCCTGCCTTTCTATCCAATGGGTACCCAAAGAAGTTGTTCTTATTGCCTTCATTTTATCCTCACAATAACCCTGTGAAGTAGGTTAGGCTGAGAGACTGTGACTGACCCAAGGTCACCCAGCAAACTTCCACTGCATGAGTGGGGATTCGAACCTGGGTCTCTCAGATCGTCTTATCCTGGCTCTCTTATGATGCTTCCCTCACACCATGACAATTTTTCACATTAGGCTTACAATATTAACACTCTTTGGATTAACACTCTCTGTTAGCCTACATTCACACAAGCATAAGTATTTGCCCAGTGAGGCTACAATGGCACATGTGAAGCCGTGCAGTAATAATGTTAAGCTGAGCAGGAAAGAGTTTAGAACTGAACTCTCTTCTGGGTCTAAGGGCCACAAAAGCTACTTACGATCAGAAGGAAGAGGGTTTGGGATGAGTGGAAGAGGGAAAAGCTGGCTGACAGCAGGCTGTGGCCCCTCGGCTTCTGGGGCTCCGGAGCCCCGCCTCACCATCCCTAGGACATCGGACAACTTGGCAGCTGGGATGAGACAGATAAGAGAAGGCGTGGAAAGAATAAAACAAAACAAAACAAATGGAAAACTAAGAACCGGGGGGAAAAACAAATGGAGAATGAGAAGAGGTAGGAGCGCAATGGAAAGAAAGAGACCAGATCAAGGGTGATATGCTTTTAAGGTCTGGCAGACGATCTAACCAACAAAGAGGTTGAATCCACTCTGATATTGACACTCAGCCTGCTTCATCCAGTGCCAGTCTTCTTAGAAAAGTTCCTTAACCATCCATTCCCTCTCCACAAACAGTTGGGTTTACTCCTCTGGGGGCAACTCAGTGTCACGACACCTATTCTTCTGTATTTTGGAGGTCCCCGTCTGCTCTTTCCAAAGCCAAGTTCACTTTTAGTAAAGGCAGGCGGAACAATTCATGCAAGATTATGGTGGTGGTGGGGAGAAAACAGAAAGCTGTTCCAATTATATGCCCCATGGGGTGCAAGGCAGAAATCCCGGTGACATCCACTACTTACACTGGGAAGGAACAGGGTTTGCGACAACTGGAGGTGGGGAGGGCAAAGCGATGGCAGGCTTTGACTCTCCTCCTTCTGGGGGCCCAGAACCCTTCTTCACCAGGCCCAGCACATCCGACAACTTGGCAGCTGGGGAGGGACAGAGGAGAGTGGGGGAAGGAGGGGGAAATGAGAAAACAAACACAATGACAAAAAGCAGGGGAGAAATGAATGGCAGAGGACACAAATAGTGGAAAAAAATCAGGTCCAAAAATGGAATTAGGTAAGTTCCGGGGTTCTTTTGGATACGACACATGGGGTGATTTCCCACTAGCACTGCTCCGGGCTCACTCTTCACTTTTGCCTGGATGGTAGATGTCAATTTCACACAAGCTGCCCCTATAGGGGGTGGGGCGCCGAGCGGAGCAGCGCTAGTGGGAAATCACCCATGGTTTAATAGTTTAAGAAAATCACTTCTCAGCCTTTTGGCTAAAATAAAGTCTGTGGAGTTTAGGAAAAAGTGCAAGTGATATTCTTCTTAGAACTGTCTTTCAAAACAAAATAAACGACTTAGCTTTAAAAGCAGATATTATCTGATTACTTAATGAGTAAATGAGATCTGATCCAGAAATAACCATTCATCACATGGCAAAACTTCTCTTGGACTACGCTTCAGACTATAGATCTGGGGGCCCGCCTCACCGTGCCTAGAAATCACACAACTGACTGCTCCATAAGCCCTGTTCACAAATTATGGAGAACACATGTACAATCTATGTACAGTGTACACTGGAATTTTCTTGGTACACATGTTAAGTAATTCTCATGTGATGTCCAACGTACAGCTCAATGTGTGATTATTCTTCTTAGAACTGTCTTTCAAAACAAAATAAACAACTTAGCTTTAAAAGTAGATATTATCTGATTACTTAATTAGTAAATGAGATCTGATCCAGAAATAGCCATTAATCACATGGCAAAACTTCTCCTGGACTACGCTTCAGACTATAGATCTGGGAGCCCGCCTCACCGTGCCTAGAAATCACACAACTGACTGCTCCATAAGCCCTGTTCACGAGTTATGGAGAACACATGTACAGTCTATGTACAGTGTACACTGGCATTTTCTTGGTACACGTGTTAAGTAATTCTCATGGGATGTCCAACGTACAGCTCAATGTGTGATTCAAACCCCACAGTTCACTGTAAAATGAGAACAGGGCTATAAGATAATAGAGTGGGATTTGAAAAAACAGATTTGCCAGTACTAGTCAGCCACTTTAATCAACATACTGCCTTTTAAATTATATACCAAACTGTCTCACACTGAGTCAGAATCCATACCAAACTGTCTCACACTGAGTCAGAACACTGGTACAGCTATCTCAGTATTGTCCTACTCTGACTAGCAGTGGCTAGCCATGATCCCAAGCAGAGACAAATCTTTCCTAGCACTGGATAGCCTTTAAACCAGGGATGTTGCCAGGGACTGGACCTGGGGTCTTCTGTGTGCAACGCATGAGCTCCTCCAGAAAGCTACAACACACTGCATCACACATTCTGATTAAATGGGCCTGAATTGCAAAGTCTTCGCTGGGAGGAGTAGATGAAACGGCACCGGTTCCTCAGGAATGCATCAGTTCCATGACCTTTGGTGCTAAGCGCTACTTACACTGGAAAGGAAGAGGATTTGCACCACTTGAGGATGGGCAGGGCAGGGGGACAGAGGGCTTTGGTGCTTCTGCATCTGGGGGCCCAGAGCCCCTTTTCACCATGCCTAATACATCAGACAGCTTGGCAGCTGGGGAGCAAGAGATGAAACAAAGGAAGAAGAGAAAGATAAGAAAACAAACAAAAATAAAGAAGAGAAATGAATAAATGACTAGGAGGAGAAGACAGAAAATGGAATCAAAGGAGATTACCATATTTTGGGATTTCTTCAAATATTGCTTGAGAACAGTCCTGTCACTAGAGCTGTTATAAGGACAACTTACTGCTTTAAAAATTGAACAGTCTACTGAAGTTGAGAGAGATCCACCTTTCCTTAAGGAAATATTCCTGTCCTTATCTATTGGGCATCATGAATGGCCAGAGTTGGAAACAGAATCTCAGTTTTTAAACACTGGAATTGGAATAAGAACTTCCCAAGGGTCAGGAAGGTGGCCCTGAGGTTGTATTACCTTCCTCTGTAGTGTGTGGAATGACTCAAGCTATTTATATATGGTGTGCTAAATGTTCTCCTTTCCTTGCAGCCGCTTTTGGCATACTGTGGGTTGGATCCAACTGATGGTGAGAAAATAGCTATACTGAGGATCGCTGGACCTGTACGTATAAAAGTCTTGTAGGATGGGAGGACACAGTAAGGAGAGGAATTGGGTGAGCAAAAAAAGGATTGGATCCAGTCCCACCGTTTTGCCTCCTATCTGCTCCTGCACACTCTAACGCAGACAGCTGGAATACTTGGTGTAGAGGACTCTGTTGCACTATAGGAGGGATTTCAACTGATATTTAAAGATTATACTCCTACACATGCTATGTTATGCTGGAAGTAATCTTCACTGAACACACTGCATGTAAACATGCACAGAATTGCACTGCAAAGCCTTGCCTAATTTGCAGTGTTTGGTTGGGTTCTGTAGTTAATTATTCGGTCATAATGACCTGTCAAAAGCATAATGATCTGATATGCTTACTGAATTTGATTCTATATTCTCCTCCAAATTCACTTTGGTTCACTGTTATGGACAATATTTAGCTCATTTGCCCAACTGCAAAAACTGGAACAACCTCCTGTCCCTTAAGTGATTCTGTAGGATCTGCAGAGGATACCTCTTGAAAGAAGTACGACTTGGGGAGCACCAATTTTGACCCAGAATTTTGCCCATGTCCTGATTCCAATTAAAATCTAAAAGTTGCTGTTTGGGGTTTTTTTTGTTATGCAGTGTGTAAATTACAGTTCTGGTCTTTTAGGAAGCATGGGAACTGACCTAAAATGTACTTATAGAATACATGTGTAGTATAGCTTGCTTCATGCTTACAGAATTAAATACAGGTTAAAGTATAGAAAAAAGCCACATTTACTTATAAAACAGCTTGCTTCATGCTTACAGAGTAAAATACAGGTTAAAGTATAGAAAAAAGCCCCTAGGTGATCAGGTGGAGTTCAGGATTCCTTAAGAATGCAAAAAGGCATGTCCTAAATATTTTGAATGCTCACAAAATGAAGCAAAAACTTGCTTACTCAGGATACACATGAACTTGTCTTGCGTGAGATGCCAGTGACTGCACGTGGGATCTCCTGCAGGCAAAGCACGTACTCCACCATGGTTCCTTTCCTATCCAACTGGATTCAACAATCCCTGAAACGATCCTTCCCAATTCTAATTGCGTACTCAAGCAGTCAAGGAATGTCCTGTGGCACTGAGTCAGGGCAGCTGGATTAGCGTGGGGAAGAGGCTAAAAGGGGATCTACAAAAGGCTCTTACAGAGCAGTCCCACGTGGCAGTCCTTGGTGCTACATGCTACTTACACGGGAGAGGAAGAGGATTTGTAACAGCAGGAGGGGGGAAGGGCAAACCGATGGCAGGCTTTGGTTCTTCGGCTTCAGGGGGTCCAGAACCCTTTTTCACCATGCCTAGTACGTCAGACAGCCTGGCAGCTGGGGTGGGGCAGAGGAGAGGAGGAAGGGTGAGAGTGGTGAGAAAATAAAGTTTTTCAATGCAGGGAAGAACAGTACTAGAAAGAGATGTTAGTGAATGCAAGTGGGAAAGGAAAATACATGGAAAGTGTTGGGGATCCTTTCTAATTTTACACAGGCTTAGGTTAATAATTCTGCTGTAAAGAATGTTGGGTTAATTTTCTCTCTCAATGTGTTACTCCCATGGGGGGGGGGGGAAATGGCTAGCAAGCTGCATCTATCCCAGCAATTTGTTGGGATATTTGTTTCAGTCCTGCCCTTTTGCTGTATGAAGACTCACCTATTGTCAGGTTATTCTAGGGGAAATGCTACCTGGAAACGGCTCCAACATACTACATCAGCCTACAGGTCAATCACCCTCTAAACCTCATATCATTCAGCTAATTTGTAACACTTCTCTTTAACCTCTTTGCAAAAAACTGCAAGGTAAAAGCGCTATTAAACATGATAAGCTTGTTACCATCATGTAAACATGATACAATCTTTCACAGGCTTTTGAAACCCAGCTCCACCTTTTCTAGCAAACAAAGCTATCCTTAGGGAGAATCCCTTTGCTTTCAGTGAAGGAGACTGGAGAAGCGAGAGGTCCAGTGCTACAAAGGTGCCAGGCTAACCATCCGGTGATGCAAACCCTGGAGACTACCTACAACTTACATTGGGGAGGCAGAGGATTTGCAATAGCTGGAGATACACAGGGTGGAGTGGCCGGAGGCTTTGAGTCTTCAGCTTCTGGAAGCCCAGACCCCCTTTTCACCATGCCTAATACATCACACAGTTTCGTGGCTGGGATGGGACAGATGAGCAGAGGGGGAGAGAGAAAGAGGAGAAAGCAAATGTAATGGAAAAATGACAGGGTGAACAGAGCTGGAGAGGTGGATTAGGAAACAGGAACATTAGATGAAAAGCACCCATTAAGTCCCATCTAAAGTACTTTACCCCATGAAGCAATGCATGAATTGTGTTCTTATCTGTGCCTTTCTGTTTACTGACACTGGATTGATATTACACATTTATTAATTGCAGTCAGTGCGCTCTTTCTGCAATCGTTCTTCAGGGCAGACCGACATCATGGCTTAAAGGAACTTAGGGCATTTATTGACAGATGTTGTCCACACTGAGCGGACACACAGATCTTGTTGACTTACAAGCAGCAGCAGCAGCAGATGGCACTGGTGAAGTTTGCAGACTGGGAGGAATTTCAGGGGCATTTCCTGGATTCAACTGGCTTTTTACAAGCTCGTTATCAGTGGTCTTCACTAAGGAGAATGGGTAAGAAATGGACAACAAAAGAAAACACCATAAAGAAAGGAACAGAAAAAAACTCAAAGAAAGGGGTGACTTTATCGGGGGGGGGGGAGAAACAGAGGATGGCAAAGCAGAATATACATCCAAGGAGAAAGAAAAAACGATGAAACAACAGAACCAAGATGAGGAGAAAACACACACCTCACTAAGGTGGAGGAGGAGAAAACACACACCTCAATAATTATTTACAACAGCCCTGTGTTGTTATCCCCATTTTGAAAATGGAGCAGCACTAGTTAAGCTTCAGAAAGAGAGAGATAACAGTTTGCCTAAGCTTATACAGAGCTTAGCGTACTACTACTATCAAGCCACCTGTTGTTTCATTAACTACTCACTTTGGCTGCCCCTAACACACCTCTGTATGCTTTGGGGTATGTCAGAGTTTGACGAGAAGCAAGAGTGAGTAATACCAACACTGCAGGACCTTATTGATATTATGAACTTAGTCAATTTAGCAACAATAACGCTACTGATAACAACACTATACTTGACCAGATTAATCCTAATACAGGTAATGTATCACCCTTTCCTGACAGAATTAATTTAATTCGTTCAGCATTGGAAAGCACTAGTTATTTCTAGCCATCCTGTCTTGGGGATTGTTTTAAGGGTGATACGGCAGTCCAAGTCTCCCTTTCTCTGTGTCACTTGCCAGCTTGTTCGCCTCAGGCTGGCTGCATCTGTCACTGTTGTTCACATCCTGCTTCTGAGTGCAAGATGCTAGTCAGTTGACATGCTTTTGCTCCTTCTCACTGTCTTTCTTTAGTAGGGATGGGCACAAACCTGTTTGTGGTTGTCCAACTAAAGTTCATGATGGGTTTACTGTCACAAACTTCCACGAACTTTTAAAGCAGTTTGTGGACAGAACAGAAAGCAGGGGTTTAAAGGCCCTTTAAACCCCTGCTTTCTGTTCTCCATGAAAGCTGCAAAAATAGCTGAGCAGTGGGGAGCAGCCTGTTCACCCCCACTTAGCTGTTTTGTGCTTTCTTGTGCAGTCCCTTTAATGTTTAAAGGGACTGTGCAAGACAACACAAAAAACAGCTCAGTGGCAGGAAGCAGCCTGCTGCTTATTTGCACCTTCTGCAAACCATGTTGAAAGGGGCTACCATGAACCATGAACCGACATGAACTGCATTTTTCCAGTTTGTGCCCATTCCTGTTCTTTAGCCTTCCCCCCTTCAACTCTTTCTTCTGAGCTCCAATGCTGTTTTCTCACACTTAGCCCAAAATGCACCCCCCCCAAGTATTCCAACTTGGCCGTCCTTTGGCAGACACAAGGGTTCAGGCGGTACAGCTTCATGAGGGATCGTAAGATACAACTCCTTCCTTGTACCACCCCTGGAACATCCCTGCTAGCCTGGAGAGCTTTTGGCTGGAACAAGCCCTAGGTTACCACTCTTCAGTCCATTATTTTTAGAATAGCTGGACCTGCTCCCAGTTTGGGGCTGGCAGCAGCAGGAGTCAGTCTTCTTGAAAACACAAAGCTGCACCAGCCTACCCACAGATAACTTTCTCCAGACAGGGAGCTGAAAAGCATTTCCGTAGGTTGTACTGAAAAATGTTTGGGAGTCCAAGGGAAAGGAAGACTCCCCACTCACAGGAGTGTTTCCTAGGATCTAAACGTGTGCTGCAACCATCTCAAAAGGATGAACTTCTACCCAACACGTGATTTATGTGCAAGGAAAAAATCCCCCTCCCTCAAGTACACCAGCACAAACACAAAAGGACCCAAATCAGCCTCTTTTTTTTTTTTTTTTGCTTGCTTCCTCTCGGGACAAAAGAACTGGAAGCTACAGAAAACACCCATGTTTACTCTCTTAAGATTACTGTGTTAAATCCAGTGAAGAGCAACTAAGTACATTTGCATGAAAATTTGCTTCGCCCATCAGAGCCAACGCTGTATCTTGTGCCTCTCCCAGGCAGCCATATCACAAAACCTGAGGCAACTGCACCAGCTTCCTTTGAAATGCTACAAGAGATCTGGGGCATATCTCTCCAAATCCATGCGGTTTCACTGTTCACCCTAAATATACTGCTGGTTCTAACAGTGATTAGATTGTGCAGTAAGTGTGGCCCTGTTGCCTGCACTACCACAGAAAGAAAGACAGACCAGAGCCCCTCTCACAGTTTTTGAACCCAAGAGACACTCTCTGCAATTTACTGAACAATCTGAGGGCTGGAAAAATTTATTTTTAAAAAAATGAAAGCTGAGTTTTGCCTTTTCAGTGCAAAAAAGAACATTTGTTAGCTTGCGGCTCCATTACAATTAAAACAAGAAATTGTGACAGTATAAAAAACATTTCCCCCTTTGGTTTACAACTTGATTTGGAATTAAGCCCTAAAATTACTGGTGGTGGAAAGTGCCGTCAAGTCACAGCTGACTTATGGCAACCCCATGCAGTTTTCAAGGCAAGAGATGTTCAGGGTGGCTTGCCCTTGCCTGCCTCTGCCTCACAACCCTGGTATTCCTGGGATGTCTCCCATCCAAATACTAGCCAGGGCCTACCCTGCTTAGCTTCTGAGATCTGACAAGATTGGGCTAGTCTGGGCTATCCAGGTCAGGATACTCAGAGAAAAACAAGAGGGGGATTTCTGCAGCCATTGAAATCTGCTTACATAAACTAAGCAAGAAGCTGCCAGTCCTGTAAACTAGATGGCTCCCATATTTCATGCTATTGCGCTGCCTCAGGAGCAACTGCTATATAAATCCAGTCCATGAAACAATAGGAGCAATGCACCTCTTGGCCAAAACCGCAAACTTCATAATACATTTGTATTTTTAGAATAAGTATTTTATAGCAGCTACAACCTCCTCCTCCTTTTTGTCATTAGCATAGTTGCTGCCAAGGTCTGCGAGCCGTAATAAAACAGATTAGCGCCTGTGTCTTGCCAGCAGAGGGTGCCGTACTCCACAACCTGCGCACCCAGAATCTCCCTCCCCTCTTCTTATTCCTAGTATTGGAGCTTTCATCTCTTAAAAGGCATTTGGGTGGTGGACCCTCAATACTGCAGGCCACATAGCAAAGCTGTTAGTTCTGCGCTCCTTCCCAAGGAAATCAAGAGAAGATACTACTGTGGCAACACTTATACAAGAAATGCTGAAGTACAGAGAGCATGGGAATTGCACAGCCATTGCTTCATAAAGTACCACAAGTGAGTTCAGAGCTCTAAGTAACGTGCAAATAAACTCAACACATATGGAAAGGAGGGATTATATGGCCTTACTGACTGACTGTTGTTGTTTTAGAAATCCCCATTTTAAGTCACTTTGGGGGAGAAAAGTATGATACAAGTTTTTAAAAAAATTAAATTTGCTATGGTTCATTGGATGGTCAGAGAATATATATCAGTGGCCTGTGGAGCAACCTCTTCTTCCAAAGTTTTCCCAGGTTTTGTAAGTAGTGCTGCAAGGAGCCATGGTACTGGTTCTGCTTTTCTTCTTTGATCTGCCCAATTTTGGACTGATGATAAGTGATACACAGTTTCTACAAACTTTGATGCCACTTAGCATTTAGCACTTAAAACAGCACTATGTATATTTAGGAAGAGCAGAACTTTTTTCATTCTTATTCCAATAATAGTCACAAATACACCCAGCGTTAGAGATGGGGCCCCTTGATGCTGTCCATTGTTTTGCTAACTGATGAAACAGTACAAAAAATTAAAAAGTCAAAAACAGAAACCATCAACACTGTGCTGGAAAACAATTATTTGGGCTTCAAATACTAAATGTACCTTGGGCAAAAATGTATTAATTCCTTTATGTAGTTTAATGAACATAATCTCACTGATAATTCTGAAAGAGAAAACATGAGGCCCCCCCCCCACCAAAATTTAATTGTTCCATACTGGAATCTCAGAAAAGTGGGAAGAAACCTTCCATCATCCTTGGAATTTTCCATTCCACCCCCCCACCCCCAATTTTAGACCTCTAGGCAAGGATAAATATCATGTTCCATGTAAGTTGTCTTTCTTGTGTTACAGAAGCCCAGAGAAGTTTTTTGTTTCTCTCAAAAACAGCTACCTGATGCTGAGTCAAATCAACGGCACATGTAGTTCAGCACTGTGTTCACTTGAACCGGGAACAGGTTCTTAGACAGAGATCTCTCCCACCTGTGGTACATGAGAATATTTAACTGGATATTGAGCTATAGGTCCCTCCCCTTGGATGTACTCACTACCACAGAACTGGAGATGTGTGTGGAGGGGAGAAGAAGGACCATGAAATCCAAAGGACAGAAACTATTTGTCTTCAGAGAGTAAGACAACCTGGATTCCCTTTCAACTGGAGGCTTCCCGCAAACCAAGTACTTAACCGTGTCCTCCATCCCACAAGATATCAATCATATACTGTTTGGCTCCACTGGGCTTTAAACACTTAGGAACTCTTCTGTCTACAAACCAAACTAGTCTCCTGTTGCTACTGTGCATGGCAGACAGGCAATCCCTTCTCCTTGCTCATTTTCCCAACCGGTATTTTATTTATAGCGTCCAAAGATCCATTTATGGTCAAAACACACAAACCACCAGAGGGTTGCCGGCTTTCTCGTTCATGAAACTTTGACTTGCTGTCTGATCCCTTGAGACTATTACCTTTCGTGTCCTCATCCTCTATGGTGGTGTTTGTGCTGTCGGAGGATTCCTGTGGAAACAAACAGGGATGGAAGAGGGAGGAGACGAAACATTAGTGGCTCCAGTCAGAATGGGACACCTGAGAAGAGGCTGACAGTGAACAACTGACGCATCTAAAGCAAGGCCCCTGGGGATTATAAAAAGTGACTGGGGAGGGCTTGGAAGCCTTTCTCAAGCCCCTGATCTACCAGAGCAAAAAGAAAACAATGGTAGGGTCATGCATTTTTATCCTCTTTTCATGCCTCTCAAGTCAGCTAGACTCAAGCATGTAAAAGGATCAGTATAGGCCTTCAGCATTACCACATCCCTGTTTTCCCCCCTCTCTTGTGGCCCTTCAGGACATACTAGAAGTCCATATCTTTGCCCTTCAAACATCACCTAATCTCTCTCCCCCCTTTAAAGGGATTCTTAAAAGTTTCCTTCATTGCCTTTTATGTGGAAAAAAACCTTAGTTCAAAGCCCAGTAAACTTAAAAGCTCTGCTCTGAAAAATCCACCCTGATTATATAGGAAGTGTATAGTAGATGTGTCACTGGCTTGCCCTTCAATGTTCTTTGCTTCCGAGATGAGGTGCAAAGTGGGGACCCGCAGATCTCACTTGCCGATGGCCTCTGGAGGTGAAATATCTCACTGCAAGTGAGCTCTGCCGAATCCCACTTGGGATAATACAACGCAAACGAGGAAAGCAAAAATATAATGGCTAATTTTGTAAGCAAAAATATATATCAAGGTGTTGGCAAAACAGAGCATGCAGCAACAGTAAAAAAGGAGAGACCACCACCCAGGGAAATATTCTGAGAATCACTGCTCAGAATGGCTTGTCTACATCAGACTCTCTCAAGTTTTTTGATTCTGTGGCCATTTTAAGTCAGGGATTCCCATCTGTGTTTCAAGCCATGGGTTATGTAAATTCCCAACTCCTCCAAAATCCCGCAGAAATATGCTGCACATACATCGTGAGCAGGTTTTGGGGAACAGTGGGTGCCTATTCTCTCTTTACTCAAAGAAAGTCAGATTCTTCTTCTTCAGAATGAACAGAAAACCCCACAGGAATTTGCTAGTAATGCTGGCAACTGCTTATGTAGCCCAGTCCTTTTGGGATCACCTAAATAGCTGGGACAGACTTCATGCTGCAGTAATAAATCACAGATGAAGGTAGATGAGCAGAACACATGGAGAGCTAAAACAGTAGGACACCATCTCAGCATCTGTCTTCATACTGAAACCTTTTGGAAAAACAATCCTGTTTTTTTTTTCAATATGCAGGGGACGGGAGAACTCGCAGGGGGAATCAAGGGACGGAGCTTAACCTTTCCCCATCTGATTCTCCCGGGAAGTTTTGTCCCTCCCCCCACAACTAGCCTCTGAAGGTATTTGTTAAGTGCCCCTCCTTTTTGCCAAACATCCTTTACAAAAAAAAAACCCCTCTGCCTTGCATTTATGTTACCTTGGTAAACATGGAACCCACATATGCTAGGAGAATGTGTTATTTCCATCCTTGCTCCAAGTATATTCATCTGTACTTTGCATAAATGTTCTTCACCAACATTTCAAACTAAAGTGGACCAGATCTCTTCCCCGTGGCAGGCAGCAGCTAGAAAAGCTCTCCGATAGCTGCCACCACTCTGGTATGGGTCTCCTTAGGAGGGCCCAGAGCACCCACCCTACCCTCCTTTTCCAGCAGATTTCTCCTTATAAGTGACTGAATGAGGCATGAGGACCCAGGCAGAAGAGCAAACTATTTTTTTTTAATTAAAGAGAGTTAACAACAACTGTAATTCAGTAACATGTAAGAAAAATGAGCACAGTAAAGGCAGGTAGCAGGTAAACCAGCAAAATAAGAAACCCCAACACGTCTGACGATACTGTGTCTAGCCTTCTCTAGGTATTTGACCTCAAGCTGACTCACCCCTTTTGGATGAGGGATCCCTCCATCTGCAGCAGCTTCACACTAGCTCTGCTTCCTAGGAGTGAACCACCTCCTACTTTGGACAAAGCCTTTTATCACTTCTTCCCAGGCAACACTCTCTACTATTCTGCTAGTGCAAGTTTTCCCTCCAAGTCCCCTGTTAGCCAAGCACAGGTTCCTGTACAGGCTTCCCTGGAGCCTGACGGCTACACTGCTATAGGTGACATCCCCGATGCAAAGCATTATCCAGAATTATTTTTGCAAAGACCTCATAGTTATCTATATGAAGCAACAGAGACCAGCAAACCAGCCATAAATTAGACAATGTGTTATGTGGCTTATCCAGTAATTAGGAAGCAAAAGACTAATTGTTACAATAGCACTTTTAATCTTGTGTGTTTTTCGGTACTCCCACTGGGACGTACATCAACAGTGTCCTCCAAGCACTGTGTGTTCAGCTTCTGGACACCACATGACTGCTGCCATATTTATCAGGTCCATCATTACCCTGTCCAGAGTGGAAACGTTTGGGAGGGTCCATGGCACAGAAATCATCCTGTGTCCACTGTGCCAGAGGATGTGGTACCAAATCACAGTGAGTGGCAAAAGGCAGGTAATGAGAAAGAGAGATGGCGGATCTTGGTTCTGGATGTAAGAGATCACATACATGGGGATGACACTGTGGGGGAGGTGAAGAGTGACAAGCAAATGCCCTGTCCACGGTAGTCCCAGGTACAGGGTTGGTCCTGATGGGCACGTCAACTGAAACAGGCATCTGTGGGAACTGAAGGGGCACAGAAGAATGCATTTCTGTGCAGGAGGAGGAACTGGATTTGCTGCCTGAAATCCAGGTACTATATATGGATAATTACTGCATTTTGGCAACTTCAACAGAGTACGCTTTTCTGATAAAGTGTGCCATTTAAGATAGTACTCAGTGATGCAGAGGTCTGGCTGGTGCTGCCCTCTGGAATGAGCATTGCAAACACGCTTCCTCCACAGCCGGCCATACTATAACCCTTAAATGGGAAGAGCGTTACAAAGGAGTCTGAACTTATAACCCAGAAGGGAAATACCCCCAGTTATTAAAAATTCATCACGCATACAAATGAAAGCAATTTCTGCAAGTATGCAGCCAGCTCTGAAGGAATATGTTGCCGTCATCACCCAGGGAAGCAGAAATGGCCTATTAAGTCATATTTTCTTTTGCCGAGAAGCACTTGGAAACACTGCTACATGCTTTGAATTGTTTTAATCACATGGGAAGTCCAACCAACTCTTTGTATCTGTATGTGTAATTTAGGCAGAAGATACATGCATATAACTTCTAACTTGGATACAGAAACTATCTGCATTATGGCCAATTTGATTAGTTAGCAAAGATTCCCCATCTAACCAGCTCCACAGTGCTAAATGTTTTATCCCATGCAATCCGGAAGCTGCCCTCTGAGCTGCTGGGGGAAAAGTTCCTGAAATGTTGGAAACCGAATAAATGTGAGAATGTCCAGAGTCTGCACAGAAGAGCTTGTGTGTCTAAAGGGGGCTGTATATCACAAATTACTTATTAGGTCAGCATTTCTCAAGTCCTTTGAACTCTTTTAGCCCTGCAAAACTTCTGTTATTTTCATTCCCCCAGCCAGCACTAATCATCCATTCCACAGGTTAATGCACACCCTGTGCACACATCTTGATGCTGCAGGTGAAGTTTTCTTGATTTGGTAGCAACCCCACACTAACATTAGAACAGGAATATAGCACGAAACCTGACTCTATCCAAAGCCCTATACAGCTAAACACAAGAATAAAGGTGCAGCCTTTCCTGTCCTGCAATTCAACCTGGATCAGCTAGTCCACCACCAAAAGGCATTGGCTGGTAGTGTATATGGCACCACCTAACCTCAGAATCTTTCCCTTTGTAGACCCTCCTGTATTCTTTTCACCCAATGGGACCTAAGCTCCTCAAGGAACACCAAACCCCACCCCCTTGCCTCACTGTGAGAATCACAGTATACATATATGCAGCAATAGGGTAATCTTTTTCTCTAATCAAGACCAACTACATCACAAAGGAATAAGCAACTAGCTAAACAGCTTTGTGTATGATTTAGTGGATTCTAATAAAGGTCTTATCCTACTGCCGTGTTTGGATTTTTTTCCCCATGGAGCAAAAAATCTAACAGCAATTTCTATATGTCTACTGCATTTTGCCTTCCTTTAGACTTCTTTTAAGGTTACAGATCTGAGATTGTACATGATCTGTAACATTTCTAACAAAAACTCTGAGGTATATCTTGCCTTTTATTAGGAAGTAAATCTTGCTTTTTTTAATATGGCTGGACAAGTTATCAAAACTACACCTATTTTTTAAAAAAATCTTTGCAAAATCACCCAAGTTCTAATCTTGTGCTAAAGTATGTTCTGAAATGAAATTCTTATTACTTTATTTCTCTTTTTAAAAATTCTACTGCACATAAATTGAGAAGTCAGCAGGTTTTGGCTCCCAAGAGTTTGACCTATTGTTGCTCTTTCGCCCACCTGAAGGTCAGAATAATTTCTGCAACAGCTCAGGCACAAAAGGACAAACATTTTAGGTTGTGCCCTCATGGTTTTTATATTATGTAGAAAGAGGGTCTTAATCCTTCCTCCCTCTCAAATGAATGGGCTTTTGCTTATTAGAAGTACAAGTCTTTTTTTTAGATTGTATATAGGTGGCTGCTGGATCTGGCCAGTTTATGGTGCCACAGATTAAAGGGGGAATGTAGGTAGGGCTTTTCATTGTTTTGTGGTCCTTTAATCTTACTTAACTTAAATTGCTGAAAAACACTGAAGCTGTTGCAAATCCCAACAGGTTCCCTCTGTGATGGACCACATTTCTGGGATCTTCAATGAGATGATAAAAATAGAAGAGACAGACTAGAATTGCAAGGTGGGATAGATGAATATGGAATTTTCCACCCGACCCAAATTTCCCCTCCAGAGTATTATAAACTTCTAGAGGTTTGAGGTGGCCAATTCCGCCCCCCCCCCGCTGCTGCCCCCATTCTATGCCTCTAGGGGTCAACAGGCATGTTCAGTTCTCATCAGGCCATTTCCCTCTTTTTGTTTCTTTAATTTATAAAATAGTATTTTTCTGCATATTTGGAGAGTCACCCAAGTATGCAAAAGCCCCTACCCCAGCCTTGTCTGTGGGTGGCCCCATTTTGCTGCCTTCATGACAAGCATGTCCCTCTGCTTTTAGAAGGAACCATTTCACTTTATATTCTGCAGACTGCTGAAAGCTGATTAAAGCTTTTGTTTCAAGGATGTGTATGAAGCTTAGAAAATGAGGACAGTCCCCCGCTCTCTTGGCAAAGGCTATATCCTCAGTGTGATGGAACTCCAAAGCACGGGGCGCCTGCCCAGCATACAAAGCAGAATGGCAAGAGTTGACACATTGGCAGAAGAGGGGATTCTCACTTCCTCTTTATGCTGACCCAGAACACAAAGTTGCAAGAGCTCATCTTGATTCAGCTCCTGTTATAACCAAATACAAATTTTGCTTTCTAACACACATACATATCTTACACTTATTTTTCAAAACAAAGGATGCATATCTACATTATTTGTCTTTAACAGTAATCTAAAATAGGAAATACTATTTCCAGAAGAAAGCGGGGGGCGGGGGGGGGGAGAACTACCATCTCTGTAGGGTTTCTTTTTTCAGCTTGGCCTCTATCCAGCTCTAGTTGCTTCCGAACTTTTAACTCTGGTCATCTTCCCCAAGCTCCATTTAATGGCTCTGCCAGATGTACCGAGTGAATGGGCTTGACGAGGAAGCATTTAAAAAAAAAAAATCAAATCCCTGCAGCAGAGAATGGGTAAGAAATGCAGGCTTGGGTGGGGGCGAGGGCTGTGTCCAAGCGATGGATGAATGTGGCATGGAGTCTATATGTCAGTCCTCAGCCAATCCGAGCTCTTGGATTGGTCTTTTTGGTCTGCATGGCTGCGTTCTTTCACTTTGGAAATGAAGGGGCTCAGTATAGCCGCCCTCTGATATAGCTCCTCTGGGGTCAGAGTAGAGGCTTCCCTCCCCATCCTGTTATCCAGAGCAAAATGCCCAGAGGCCCTCCTCTTGTCTAATGCCCATTCTTCCAGGCAGGCATGTATTTTGAAATCACCAACCTTTTCCCTCCTCTGTTTCTTTCCCCAAAACCTAGAGCCTCTTTGCGGGACAGAAATGTGCTGAAGCAATGAGTATGGAACACACCAGGCAACAGGGCAATAAACCTCTCCCCCTCCCTCCCAAAAGAGGCCGAATCATTATGATTTCCCAATAAGACCAGTGTCTTGTAGACCAGAACTGTGCCATCCACTTCAGTTGCATTACTTGATTTACATTGGTGTGTGTGTGTGAAGAGAAAGGGGAGCTGTTGCTGGAAATGGGCTTCCCAGAGAAACAACTCCTTTATCACAAGCACATAAGTCAATCCCCAGGAAGACTAAGCCCTGTAGAGAGGTTCCATGGGGCAGCTGCAGTTCAGATTCAGCTGGAGTAGACAATCTCCTTAATGGACACCCGCTGATCAGATTCTATCTCGCACATGGTTTCAGACATACCGAAATAGACAAGAGGTGCACAACGGTGAGCCTAAGGTCTGTCCCCAGAGGTGAAATTACACAGCTGTGCAATGAGCAGAAAAGTCAATTTTTATCCAAGATCACAAAAGGGCAAACTGAGGAGAAGGAAAGACAGGCAGCAGTACCTTAATGCCGTCCACTGGGTTATGGATAACGGTGGTTTGAGGTTCCTACAGAGGAAGGAAGAATGAACCAAAGAAGAATAAAAAAAGAAGAGGAGGAAGAAATGAAAGAGACCAAAAGAAAAGGTGGTAATTGGAAGGGGAGAGGGAAATGGAGCAGAAAATGGTGATAAAAATGCGAAGGAAAGGGAAGAGGGTGAAAGAAAGACCAAGACCCACATAAGAGCAGGGAGGGGAACAGAATGGAAGGGAAAAAAGCAAAAGGCAATTAGTTCAGCAAAAGGCAAATGATTAACAAACAGAAAGTGGCAGAGTAAATCAGGAAGAGAAGAATCGAAACTGGATTTCTATGAATGAAACCAAAATCATATTCAACCCCCATGATAAGATTGTTGTGAGCCCCTTGGAAATGGAGAGCGCAAGCTGAAATCTATCTTCAGCCCTTCTGCAAACCAAAGAAACCTTTGCGACAAGGAGAATGAGAGGAAGTGCCAGGATAAGAGAAAATGGCAGGAATGAGCTCCCCATGAAGATGTGGCCAGTCCATACCTGGGTTAACATCCCCAAACAGGCTCCACCTGAGATTAAACAGGGAAGAAAAAGGAAAGCAAGAGAACAGAAGGTCCTTGGATCATATCCCCTGCTCTTGCTGGGTTGTGCCATTTGCATTAAAGACAGACTTTAGTTATTGAAGGTGTTTTCAGAGCCGTGTGATGCATGATTGTCATATGAAGCACTTTTTGTCCATAGATGCCCACAGTACAACGGCTTGTGGGCTAAAGAGCATGCTCTTTGGGAGTCTAAATAAACCACTCTAAGATATGTGGTTGAGTACTTACCCTTTGTATCAATCTGGTGGCATTATCATGCTCTGAAAGGCTGAGACTTTAAGATGCACTTACCTGGAAGTGGACTGTGAAGACACCCACAGAAAATCCATTATGTCCTTATTGGCCTCCTCATGCCTCCTCCCAGCTAAAGATTTCTGTAGGTCCCCCGACACACATCAGGCAGACACAATCCAAACATCTTATTAAAATAAACCACATGACTTGTTCAGCTTCATGGGATCCCCAGCGTGACTAGGGTAATTTGTCCCCTTAAGCTCCTGCAGCAGCCTTTCTTATTTGCCCCCTGGCCTGGGTGGTAGCTAGGATGGCCATTTGATTGAGAACGGATTGGCTACTGTGTGAAGCAGGTCGCTAGATGCACCTAGCAGGGCTCTTATGCTCTTATGAACAGGGTGCTGATTTCTACTTCTTTAACGAGCAAGAATGTGGTCTAAATTATTTTGCCGAGATGCACCTGGCAGGGCTCTTATGAACAGAGTGCTGATTTCTACTTCTTTAATGAGCAAGAATGTGGTCTAAATTATTTTGCACACGGACAAGTAGTCCAAATGCAAAAGGAGAACAGTGCTCCTCTGTCCAATGAAGCAAAATGAATATGGCAGGTGCACCTTATATAGAAGTAAGGATGATACATTTGCTGAAGTTTCCTTTTCCACACCACTGTTAAAATAACTAGGGCTCTTCTCTTCCTTTGTATTTGATTGCCCTGCTCTGGAAAGGAAACTGCTTACAAGTAGCCCAACACTTAGAAACAGCTTAAATCTTACATGTAAATACAGTATGTTTAAGATGAGCAAGATACATATCTGGGAAAGAAAACAGCTGTTTTGAAGGCTTCTTTGGGATTTGCTTGAATTACCAGGACTTTCTGCCCACAGAGTGTGTTTGCAGCCTGAAATGTTCTCCAAAATCCAGGAGCAGGAGGCATTTAGGGCTGCTGGAGGGAAGGCTGGGAAGAACATGCTCTGCGGGCATAAATCCAGTACACAGGTTCCTAGAAAAGAATCGAGTTCTTTTCAATCTGCTCAGAGCCATATTCTTAAACAATTTATTTGGAGGAACATTCCAGTCAAACCAAAAGGCTTTAAATATGTTTAGAACTGAGGCATTGATTATACACATCCTCATCCAATCAACTGTGTATAATTCTGTTTTCGGCTTATGCTGTAAAGCACTATGTACAAATTGACTGGACCACGCTCCTGATGTTTATTAAATGGGTCCTCCCTTCGTTTTTATTTCCTATGTATATTCAGCAGTTCTGGGGCACTCCAGCAATGTGTTCAAACTGTTTAACTCGTATAATTGTAGCTTTAAAAGGAATAATTCGGCAGCAGGAAGCAATATCTAAAGCAATGGATTCAGATTCGTTCAGATTATTCTAAAGCAATACATCTTCCTCATGGCTCACACCTACAGTCTGAATCATATCAAGTGCTGCTCCATGTTAAACACTAAAGCAAACTGAAATCAGTGGGCTCACATAATTAAATCAAGGCACACAATCAGTTGTAGGCCAAGTTGGGTGACTGATGAAGGGTTTTTGCAGGTTCTCAGCTCCTGGATCTGTGGACACTCATCCCAAAGAAACAACGCTGGCTTTTAACATCCCCCCTCCCCCCGCTAGTTTGTATCGCATAAAGGATTTCATGCTTTATCATGGAAAAGGGCCAGTAAGAGTAAAGTTTGTTGCTTGTGTTGGAAGGGGAAAGAAAGCTCCAGCCCACTGCTTATGCAAGTCGGGTGCACTTCAGTGGTCATTCTAGCAGAACAGGACTTGAACGATCGCTATGTACAAAAAGGTAGGTCTCTATGCAAATGCATTGTCCATTGCTATGGTAACTGGCATTACCCATTCTGGAAGCAAGTCAGGGCTGGCACTAAAAACAAAATATCCTGATTGGCTTTGTGAAGAATTAAACAAGGCTAGGGGTTTGAGGTTTTACTGAAGGAAAACCGGTTCTCATCTGAAAGGGTGGGAACTGGGGGATGGGGATATCTGCCATGGATGAAAGGGAGTGAACGAAGGCAACAGATTTCATACCAAGACCAAAAGTTGCTTTTCTTGTCCTTGGTGGCACATGTTGAATTGGAGCATTCACTGGCTACTTCCTAATATTTAATGGACCACAAGGGGCTCCAGCTATTGAAGTCATTGAGAGATTTGTCTCGGCCTTCAGCAGAGCCAAGGTTTCTCTCAGCGGACAATTGGTGATTTGAACTAGAAAAGACTTCCATTTTATATAATCAAAAGCACAGTTTTCAAGCCCATTTCTCTAGAGAAGCAATATTTTCTCTGGCACTGCCACCAAAGTATTCTTTCTTTGTGTCAAAAGAACTTGCCATTCTCTTCCAAACTCACACTGACTTCTAGAACGTTGCAGACTGAGAAACAGAACTTCTGCTAAGCATCAACAGGCTTCATGTTATTTCCTGATTTTCTTAATATCTAGGCATATCTTGGGAGGACGTACATTAATGACAACTCTTCTCCCAACTAGGCCGCTGAATGGTGCCATGTACTATGGAAAGCATAGTTTAACATAACAGAGAATTGAAAAAGCCTCTTCTAAAGAAATAAAAGCAATCAAGTGGAGAATAAATGCAATAATTTAAGTTATTCATCATTTTGACTAGCAGAACTATCTGCTTAAGATTAGAAAACTAGTAAGGAAGCTGCCAAAGGAAAAAACAAGCCGTATAATCTGGAGAGGGTCATTATCTAATACATAATGGCTAAGCAGTCCAGCCTGTACCCCACAGATGCTGCCTGGAAACATTACTTCTGTTCCTAAGGGCAAATTCACAAGTTCATTTTTTAACAGTGAATATTCATCTTATGTTGCACCATTGCTCTGACACGTAGATTGTTCTCTGTTGTCTTATGGGCCCAGTTCCAGGTGCTGGTTTCGTATGAAGCTCAAAACAGCTTGAGATCAACAGTCTACCTCTTTTCCAGTGTCCCATTATGACCCGGAGACCAGCCAAGGAGGCCCTCTCATTGACATCTCTATGCCATGTTCAAGCTGGAATGGAACACAAAGAGGCGTTTCCCAGTGGTTGGGCACCCAGTTGTGGAACCCTGGGGATCTATCAAGATCCAAGCCAATGAATCTTTCAGAAAGACTGCAAGATCCATCTAAATTAGGATGATTGTCAGTTGGCAGAAAGGGGGAAAGAGGACCTTTAATTGCATTTTAGTGGAGCCTTGTCCCTAGCTCATCGTCTACCCAGCGATTTGAAAGCTTCAGCAAGTAGATAAATTGGGGACCACCCATAAGGGGGTGGGCACACCACTTCCCTTGGGAGGTGTTAGCTGCCAGTGTGACATCTGCAGCGTGGCAGAAATCAAAAGTGGAAAAATCTGTTTCGGCATTTTTTTTTCCCTGCAGTGGAGCGAATCGGCCAGGCGGTGGCAGTGTGGCAGTGCGACATCGAGAGCCCTGACGTCATCACCCAGCCGACAGAATACATGCTGTCGGGACATGACTGATACAGCCTGCAGATGGATCCTCCGACCAGCTACAATATGTGTGTGATTAAATACAGTATGTTGTCTTCCCTATCCCCCACGAATATATTGTTAGTCCATTGTCTCTGAGTAACTGTAAATCGCTCTGAACCCGCATGAGTGGATAATAATAATAATAATAATAATAATGGGACTATGATTTTAATGGGATTTCTAAGTTTCTAGGTGCCCCAAGCCCTTGGAATGATACAGGCTACTCATGTAAACCAACTGACAACTAACAGATTTGAGTTTTGTGAATGCTCCAACACGTATCAGCATCACAAGTTAGCACCTTATGGATAAACCAGTTTCTTTGAGAATAGTATCAGGGGGTAGCTGTGTTGATCTGCAGTAGAAGAGCTAGATCTGAGTCCAGTAACACAACAGAGGCCAACAAGATTTTCAGGGTAGAAGCTTTTGGGAGTCAAAGCTCCCTTGCATCGGACGATGGGAAGTTCGACTCTCAAAAGTTTATACTTTGAAAATCTTGTTGGTCTATGGTGCTAGTTGGACTCTATGGTACTGCTACAAGTTTCTCTAAAGTTTCCTATGGAACAGAGAATCATAACTTAGGTATGTAGCATATATTCTTGAGCCAGTTCACCAAACCACTCATTGCCAAACTTCTCCACCTTTCAAATCAATTTACAACAATAATACAACTCCACTTTGTACTGTATGCAACCAAATTATAACTTAAATTAAAGTTCAGTGCAGGTAATGTAAAGAATGTACAACTGTCGTGGTCACCAGGTTTCCACTTCTGAAGCAAAATGGCAACCTGAGATAGGCTCTGCAAATTCTTGCCAGTTCTTTTAGTAAAAGAGAATGCACTACCTATTTGCCTGAGCACTTACCGTCTATGGTATGGATGCAGTGGGATAGTATAGCTGTCATGCATTGATTTATTTTAAGCCACACTTACCTGATAGGAAAGGGCTACCAAAGAACCTCACAATGGAACATCATGATGGAACACTATGTAGTGTAACTGAAGAAGGCTATTTGGGGAACCTACATGTTCATCACATTTCTGGTGCAGCACATTCCACAGTAACACATTTTAAGGGGAAAAAAAGTCTGCAACTTAGCATCTTAATTTGAAGGGATATACATACCATTTTAAAAGAGAAATACTGACAATGTTTGTTTCTTAAAGAGCTGAAGTCTGCTTCCAGAGCATCACACCCTCTGACCTTTCTACCCTTGAAGTTACAGAATAACCAAGAGGGCTACCAAATGGCAATGTGTGCTTGGCACAGTAACAAATGCAATGGAATTGAATCCATCCTATGATAAAACAAAAACTTGGGCAGAACTTGATGCTAAGCTGCATCCTAAGATAAGACCAAAAAAGAATTAGACCTAGCTCTCTTAATCAATTCTGAGAGGCTTAAAATCTCTGCTACAGTTCTAATGCCATTGCATGAAGATACTTCTATCATTCATTAGCACTCATGAGAAAATTGGAATATTTCAAGTGATCCCCCCCCCTTATATAAGTATGCAGCTTACAGTGATTTCCTCTAACTTTGTACGAAATGACAGCAAAATAACTAACCTGTGATCCCTCAGAGCCACAAGTCATTTGCAATTTATGGAATTTTATAGACTGGGGGTTGGGCTGAGAACCTTGTGGGTAGGGCATTAGGTTCAGTGAAGAGAATACTTAGGGACATTCAGGATCAGGAACCAGATTATCCCAAAGAATTCCTTTGATCAGTGCACTCAGAAAAAAATAATGTAATTGCAAATTTGTGCACAGAGAAGAAATCAACTTTCCCCTCTTATACCCAACTAGAGCAATGCAACAAATTCATTACTGATCACATCCATTAATCCTACATTGCAAGTTGGACAGCTCTTTGGAAGTAAGCATCTGCATCTAGGTGCCACTCCAATCAGCTCAGAAAGTAAACAATTTCGGAACTTCTCTGAATAAAACAGCCACACCGTATAGCCTGGAAATGCCCAGCAATGGAAATCTGGCTCTTCAGTACACCATCAAAATCACTCAATTTAGGTTTAATTAAAGCCTAATGGGATTGTGAGGACAAGCTGGCTAGTAATTCCAACACTCTCTGACTAACCTACCTCAAAGATGTGTTTTGAGGCTAAGAGGGAGGAAGTAAGCCACATGTGGATAGAAAGGTAGGGCATAAATGATGTAAATAAGGAAATAATAGCATCAACTAACTCCAGACATGTGTGAGTTAACTGAAAATGCCAACTTGTGCTGGGGAAAAATGGTTATATGAGCCTGTCCTCAGTTAGGATATACTGTGGCCAAAAAGACTGAAGACTCTATCTCAGAGGCACACACTCCACAGGCTGTGGAGAGCCTCATTTGCAATTGCTACCAACCAGAAATGCCACAATTTCTTCCATCCCTGCCATGAGGATGCAGCTTTTCCATTCCTCCAGCAGCAGCTGTTGCAAGGTGGGAACTAACTGCCAATTATTTCGGTAAGGGCCTTCCCCACTTTTACTAAAACATAGGGTGGGTGCCACAATGGGGAATGGTGCTTAGAAGACTCACAGGTGGCATGCCAAAGAATCACATGTGACTCCCAAGCCACGGAGTTAGTATCAGTGTTCTAGCTATTGCTCCTGTATGGCACTGCTTGTGCATAGTTGAGGCTGAAACAGAATGCTGCCAAATGGAATGCTTTGCATCTACTTGCATGGCATGGGCATGCATGACCGCAAAGTAAGGAAGAAAGGGCCAGAGGACATGATGGCTACCCTGATTTCCTCCTTTAAATCCATGCCTGCTGTGTGTACACAGCGATATCCAGAATGGTACATGTGGATAATTGCTTTTTTCCTCCTTGGGGTCTTTGTGTGATTAAAGGATAAGAAACTTGGGAAAACTGCTATAATATATGCATCTGAACAGAAACTCTAATTCTGTGTCCATTTTAAGCACATTTTGTAATTGGCTTGGTGGTCCTACCCTGTCTCCTACAGCTGATGCACAATTCTGGCTCAGTACATGTCACTTGAAAAGTGGATCATACTTATAAATAGATGTTCTCAAAGGAAATCCTCTGCTTCTGGCCATCCTTAGCCTTTTAAAAGTTTGTGCTGTCTCATTCTCTCCAGATAGAGACAGGCATTATAAGGCTTCCCCTTAGTCCACCAGAGGTAAATTAAGCCTGGTGCCTCTTAGTCTGTAGCACAGCTCTTTGCTTAGGCAGTTAAAAATCAACAAAAACTTGGAAGAAGCCAAGGTCATGTATTATTGCCTATGTCAGGGCCTAGGGTATAGATGATCTTTGCTCTATACTACAGAGGTTCTTTGGGAGGCTGATTTTCTAGACTAGGGAATGGGAACATAGAGGTTAACAGAAAAGGAAGACTCTGGTTTAAAAAAAACACCCAAAAATTAAAAACGTGCTACCAGCACTGTTGAAATGTGAAATGTGTTTCCAAAGACTATGTAATACATTTTACACAACAACCTGGATATTTATTTTATAAGCACGGACACATTTTAATTCCATAGTAGACAGTACTCAGAGATCTTTAGGAAAAAATCATTAGCTCTCTTTGAAATTACATACTAAAGGCTGGCTGGATGACTTCTAAAAATCCTCCCAACCCTTTTTGAGATTTTATAACTGGATGAAAATCAGCCAAGAGTTTGGCTCATTAATGTTAATATTAATAACAGAAGCTGGAAAAAAAATGAATCAAGGACCAGTTTTCACATTAACATTGAGATACTGTATCAATCTGGGTTCCAAATATATGTAAGTTCCTACAAGAGGCAGATGATTTTAACCACACTTACTGAGTCCCCTCATTTATGGACAGTTGTACTGACATGGTTAAAAGCACTCCACCACACATGGAAAAAGTTTAATTCTTACAGTTCAGATCCCACAGCATCTATGCCGCAAAGACAATGTGAGAGAATTGAGTCTAAGAATCTTTTGTAGTTATGTGTGCTGCTCATGTGAAACTCACTCAAGAAATCAAGTTTGTTCTGCTGATCTGTTTTTAGATTATCTTCATCTGAACACTGGAGATTCCTTTGGATCCATATCTATGCCCAGGCAGGCACTGAAGCTTTGCCTTCTAGGTACTTATGTCAGCATTATTTTCAGACATGGTCTCTGCTCAGAAGCAATTTCCCATGTGGTTAGTTCAGTACTTTAGGCCTGACATAGCACTTGTCGGTCTTTTATGGACAAAGGTATTTATGAAATTCTCTCTATTATTACTTGCCTGAGTGCTAGAGCTAAATCAGCAGAATGAAAATGTTTATTTTCTGAAGTGGCACTTGCAAAATATTTGCCTGTTTCTTCAGTTAATTCCAACATGAACTTTTGTGTCCTTGAGGTCTCTCATTCCAGCCATTGCTCTTGATGATGTAACATGGCAAGGTCACATTTCCTACAGTGACTGAGACCGGCCTGCTTGCCGACTGGCATGACTCTATAACCAGCAGAGTCTGGGAAAGTTCTTGATTTTTAAACACCTTTGGAAAGTTGTTTTCAGTACCTTCGGGGTCTTAACATTCACAGGAGAGGAAAGGTACCCACATACTGTTCAGATAGTGAGGAAAAAGGCTTTAGGTGTTTGCTATGGCGGTGTTTGCTACAGTGTCAATGAAATCTGATATTTTTCTGGAAGATTATCATGCAAAAACATTTATTGTCAGACTGGGCTTCAGACTAGAGAGTTCAACTGCATAGGCATCCTTCCTAATGAATCGACAGCAAGAGCCCAAGTGATGTGGGAGATGCCCTCCACACATCCATTTTACTAGAAGAGCATTACAAGTACATGGCATCACAAGGACACATGATGGCATCATACAAGAGTCAGAAGATTAAGAGTAGGCACAATTTCCAATCCCATAAATTCCTTATGTGAGCTTTAATCAGGAACCATATTACCAAAACAGCAAGCAAAACCAGCATCTCCAAAATCTTTTGCTGAAAGGACTATAAAAAGTACAAAAGACCCATACCAGTGCGGCTGGAGGAAGAGTCCCTTTCGGGCTGGTGACCCCGGCGCTGCCTTTGGTGCTGTTTGTTTGAGCCTGCAGAAAATAAAAGTGCACATACACAAAAAAAGAAGCCTCGGAAACGGAAGAAGACTAAAAGCCCTCCACACAGACAACCCATACTCACATCACCCCGACCCCTTTGGGAATGACATGACACCCTATTGAGATAGGCAGTTATGTACAAAATTAGGTTCTGGCAGCAAAAGAAGACAGGAAAAGTTTAGAGCAGATGTTGCAAAATGCCAAAAATGCTGCAGAGTTTCCTGTGTGACAAATTAGAATATTCCTTCAACCTGAGAAGTTTGACTATTTTGTAAACAATGGGTTTTTAATAGCTCTGGACTACAGAATTGTAAGAGATATACTGCAGGTAAAATGATTTTTTTGCTGTTAATGTGGTATAAGCCACAGCCATCCCCATTTTTCCCCAGGTGAACTGTTAGGCAAACCCCCATAATGATACTTACCTTCACTCCGTCAGCTTTCTTGTTCAGTAAACTCTTAGCTGCTGCATGGGGAGGGAAAGAAGAGACTTTAGTGGCAACTCTCTTAGTGTCCTGAGACATACTCTGTCCTGTCTGAACAGCCAAAAAAGAATCACACAAGCTGCATTGATGCAGTTCCCTCATCAAACAGCTAAAAGGAGGATCAAGAACAATGGGTAAATCCCAAATTCTATGAGGGTGGGCAAAGCCCCAACATCTCGCTAAGCCAAAAATGGAGGTATGAATGGCAAAATGCCACAAATGGGCAGTTTCCCAAATGCAGGGAAATCGGGGGAAGACTATAAAGTGGAAATGTCCTTGTTGATACTTGAATCATTGTGTTGTCTCTCTTTTTCCCAAGCTGCCATTGGCCTGGGCACATACTGAATTGTCCAAACCTTGTGCAATTGCAACAAGGAGGGAGTCTTTGCATTGTTAATGTGCCCAGATTAACAATGGTCTAAAATAGGACTCCACTCCCACTAGAGATCCTCTCAAAAACTTCCTATAACAATGTTTATGGAAGACAACATACGCATTCTTTAGATCCAGGTAGTCAGCCATATTGGTCTGAAGTAGTAGAACAAATTTAGAGTCCAGTGGCACCTTTGAGACCAACAAAGGTTTATGCAAGGTATGAGCTTTTGTGTGCAAGGCACACTTAGTGTGCATTGCACACAAAAGCTCATACCTTGCATAAACCTTTGTTGGTCTTAAAGGCGCCACTGGACTCTAAATTTGTTATAAATACTCTTTGTCCATTGTTAAGTTACGCACATTGTACCAAGCAATCATCAGATTTCCCTGCACTTCAATAGAGTGCACACTGGTCTCAAGCCCATTAAGATCTATGTAAACACTGTGTATTGAGAATAGTGAATCTCTTGAACACAGTTTCATGCAGTTCCTTCCCACTATGAGGTTTCAGATCATTCTTGACAGGAAGGCACACTTAGGACTGATCATTAAACATCATTTCTCCTTTTATACCAAGAGCTTCCAATTAGGAAAAAAAATAGCTGCAATCCAAGCTTTCCTTCAACAAGGAGCCAACCAGAACTCCATGCAGCATGTGAGCCTTAGGATGACACACTCTACCTATCTTCTTCACACCTTCCCAGTAAGACACCAATGCTGCCATTTCTGCAAAACCACTGTCTCATGATACACACCCTCATCTTTTCTTAGACATGCCAGAAAGTCTCTTCACATGTACTGTCCTTTCCCCCCCGTTCTCACTTGCATTGCTTTATCAATCTCACTTGCATTGCTTTATCAATCTCACTTGCATTGCTTTATCAATCTCACTTGCATTGCTTTATCAATCTCACTTGCATTGCTTTATCAATCTCACTTGCATTGCTTTATCAATCTCACTTGCATTGCTTTATCAATCTCACTTGCATTGCTTTATCAATCTCACTTGCATTGCTTTATCAATCTATTGCACTTAATCTAATGTGACACTTTGTTGTTAGTCTAGATTTGCTGTTACTCCACTTAAAACACAGCAGTACAGTACAAGCCCTTCTACCCGAACAGTTCAGTAAACACAGAAACATATGAATAATCAACGTTTCAATATTGAGCACCGACTACATAAGATCAAAGTGGTGGAGAGGACAGGAATAACTCATAAAACTATGTTTCTAATATATTGCATTGCCTCAGAATGCTTCTTGCTTTAGAATTGCTTCTTGTCTTTTTTTCTTTTGGCTGAGGAGAGACCCAAGAGTGATATGGCAGGGAGGCTGGAGGGGCTGAAATGAAATGCATGGCAAGGGGGGTGGGGGTGGGAAGTGTGCTACGGCAGCCAGGATAAATGTTTTCATTAAGATGAACAGAAATATGGGTGCCTGTCATATAGATCTGGTTAATAGAATTGAAGGACCAGCAAAGCCATGTGAAAAGCCTTTAGTGAGTAAAACAAGTTATAACACTGTGACTAGGAGAAATCACATATTGCCTGTAGTACTCGGCCAACAAGCTATAACTGGAATGCATTTTGTTCAAATACCCTCTGCAAAATCACAACCCATTACTGAATCCAATACAATGGCTCTGTGGACAGGCACTGACATCAGTAGGACCATCATCCTCAGAACAAGAAGATTCCATCTATTTCTGGACCCTATGAGGTCATGAAATGTCTCCCACATTAAATCCAGTCACCACAGTAGGTATTAAGGGCAGAACCCGAGAAAAAGTTTGCTTACCTTACAGAAATTTACAGAAGAGGAAAGGCGAGAGAGACAGGCAGGTGAGAAGGAGGTTTGGAAGGGGTGGGGAGAGAGAGAGAGAGAAGAAAAGGGGGGGAAAAAGAAGAAGTGTTGAGACAGAAAGCAAGGCCTTTGGGGTGAAGGCCCAGTCTGACACCAAGGGGAAGTGAAGCAGCAGCAGCAGCACCACAAAAGCAGCACTACAGTGGACTTTGCTCACACACACACACACACACAGAGGAAGGAATCTATTAATCTATTAACCAGAAGGCAATCAAACACAAACACGCCTTGGGATGCCTGCTGGACTTTGTAGGATGGCACATTCTCATTTTCCATAGTGGCTGAGCTCAGTAACCCTACAATTAAATCTGCTTATGTTTTTATTAAATATATGGCCTTTGTTTCCTTCTCCCAACCCAATCCTGAGCTCTTCACATTGTAAACCTTCTTTTGGGTCTCTCTTCCATATCTATTAGTGACCCATGGCGTCCGTGAAGTCTTGAATGAAACAAGGATCCTAAGATCATTCTAGCAATTACAAAATTTGTCTCAGTCCTTTTAGTCCTTACATCTAAGAAATAAGTGTCTTTTGCTGCCCAAGATTCATGAATCAATAAGCTTTTAAGGGCACAAAACGAAAGGAAAGGAACAAGGCAGGAGTATGAATGTAAAGTTTGCTAATTTTCTTCATGAATTCAAATTAGAGTTTTATGACAATCAGCTAACACCAGATTGTACGGTACCGGCTCTGTTGTTCACCCTTCTGACTGCAGACCCCCTGTGTCTCCCTCACACTGTGCCTGATGGTCCCTTGTCCCTCTATTTTGGGGGACAAATGTGGACATCCTAATCTGAAATCTTGAGTGGAAAAGAACAGAATTTGCTTGGTGCCTATAAGGCACCATGAGGCACCATGAGGCTAGGAGATGGCACCATGAAAATCTCTCAGGAGTTCCACAAACAGAGCACAACTACAGAAAAGGCACTGTCTTCAGGAAACCACCCACCTAACTTCTGAAGATGGGGGCACCTGAAGAAGAGCCTCCAATTACAATCTCAACTAAGGCACTAAAGTCATAGTGGTTTTGGTGGAGGTGGAGAGGTGCACTGGTAGAGCATCTGTTTGACATGCAGAAGGTCCCAGGTTCAATCCCTGGCATCTCCAGTTCAAAGGACTAGGTAGTGGGTGATACAAAAGACCTCTGCCTGAGACCCTGGAGAGCCACTGCTGGTCTGAGTAGACAATACTGATCTTGATGGATGAATGGACTGATCCAGGATAAGATAAATCCACATGTTTGTGTGTAGTGCTTAGTATTACACACAAAGCCAGATAACAGACATACCATGAAACTCTCAGAAACAACTCTCTGCCTCCAGCATATTTTAAATTCTTATGTATGGAAAATCAGAGAGAAAGGAGGGTAGCACCATGAGATATGGGGACCTCTGCACAGGTTACAGATTAATGGATATTACTACATGTACACACAGCATACACTTCAGCATATGAGGGAGATGCATTTGATTATTTCACTGAGAGTGCATGCTGTGGGAAGCAGTGACAGGATGTAGCCTTGCCACAGGTATATACTGTGAAATCAACACACACATCCCCCTCTAATTTTATATGGTAAACCATGGTACCTTTGCTTACCCATAAATTCTATAACACGTGACACAACTTTTAGACCAATGTATATTAATGTAAAGATTAATAATGGCACCTGCATTTACCCACAAATTCTATAACCTGTACCGTAACTTTTAGATTAATGTAAAGTAAAAAAAAAAAAGCAGAGAGGGGAGATTTTGGAATCTGCAGGAAGGGCTGGAGTACAACATTTGCATGTAGAAGGTCCCAGATTCAGTCCCCAGAATCTTGGGTAAAAGACCTCAAGTAGCAAGTTCTGGAAAATACCTTTACCTGCCTTAGACCCTGTAAGAAGTACTGTGATGACAACACACAATACTGAGGTAGACAGATTTGTGGTCTGACTCACTATAAAGCAGATTCACACGTTCATACGCATTGTGAATGTTAGAAATCGCCAATGTAGTTTGCCATAGCAACAATTACTCTTGAAACAGAAGATGAAACCACTAAAAGGTGAGCATTTTGTAGGATTGGTATATGTTTAGGGCAGCAGCAGGAGGACCAAACACATTACCCTTAATCCAGAGAAAATATCCAAGAGCTGAGTTCACAGCCGTGACTGGATACCTTCATAAAACCTTTCCTGAATCTTCATGGTTGCAGTTACATGGTCAACACTCAAAACAGATCATTCTCTTATCTGAAGCATCACAGATGATGTTTGTCTAGACTATTTTATTATCTATACTATTCTGCAGACTTGCTTGTAACCCACTGGGTGTCCATTTTCAGTGAGCGCTCTCTGGTTCCTCAGTTGCTAAATTAAATCAAAATCTCTCTGAAAACAGTGGAATCCCCCTAGCTCATTTACCCACCTGGAGAAAAACAAAGCATAAAGGGTTAAGACACAACTGTTTTCATTTATGAACCAGGCCAAAGTTCTGCTATTAAGCAGCACTATCATATTATGAGAAAGCATAAACAGTTGTGATGCCTCAAACAGTTTCCTTCCAAAATTATTTTTGTCTTCCCTCATATGAAACCTGTTCTCTGTATTTCAGTATTCATTTTCTATACCCAGATTTATCTCATATAACCTTTCAAACTCTCTCCTCACTAGTTTGTGAGTTTCCATAAGCAAATACATTCCCCAGAATTCTGGGCCAACTTTTAGAAGCAGTCATTGAAGTAATTATAATGGAGCTGGATATTCTGAGGAATGGAAGCTTTAAAACAAGATAAACACAAAGAGTTGTTGTAATTTCCATCTGTTTCTTCATTTTGCTTGCACTAAAATCCTAAAGAGTATTTTCAGAGGAACACTGAAGCTGGGTTGATTTCTTCATACTGGTCACACTGCTGCTGCTACTGCCACCATGCATATCACTTCTCCACATGCAGTACCAACATCAGCACAGACATAAGCAGACGCCCTCATCCATCTTCTGATAAAGAGATGTGACTAGGCAGGGCCCTGGAGCATGCACCTGGGTTACATAAACTCATGCACAATTCACCACATTCAACCTGCAGGCAAAGTTGGGATGCAGACAGGGCAATGATTAAGACAAGCAGAGCCAACATTCATGTGAGAGAAACATGAAAACTCATCAAGGGGGACCCTTGTCTGCATGCCCAAGAATTGTCCTTGTTGATCGCGTATGGAGGGGAGATGTTCTCTGAGCAATAGTCTCTCAGGTTCTAGTTGGTCTTAATGACTTTCCCACAGCCTAAGTTGCATCAGGTTATTTCTCCTACTGGCACTTTTTTTTTTTGTATAAATGATTTTACAATCCCTCATCACAAAAGGAAGATTCTCCTTTGTGTTTGGTCCTCCTTTCCACCCTCTTCACAATTGGTCATGGGACTATTTAGGTGAAGCTTTAGAAAACTCCCCAAGACTGGGCTGCTGAAACGCATGCCAACAACCAACAAAAGCCACAGGAAAGCTGCTGAACCTTTCCTGCTAACTGATTATACGCACAAGGCACACATATTTAAGGGTGAATACAGATGTACCCATTCTGAGTGATGAACCTGGTATGGATCTGTATTTTTGGCCAGTTGTACAACCTTGCTCAGAAAATTGAGATCAAGAGGGATTAGTTCTTCCTGTTTCCAACAAAAAAAGCTGACACTGCTGAAGGCTGGTAGGCTGGGCCCTTGTAACTATCATGAAGCCGCCACCATCCACAGATGGACTGGCAAAGTGCCAACTGGTTGGCCTGTGTGCCAAACTTCCCCCTCCCTTGTTCAGAATCAGTGTTTCAAATGGGGAAAAGCAAACTGACTCTCAAAAAATGCCAATAAACATATTACCAGATTAGCATGCCAAGCTCCTGATTATTTTTAATTCCAACTGCCCACCTCCCATAAAACCATGGTGGCTTTGGAGGTTTGGAGCCAGGTACCTGTCTCACCAGATGAGGGAAGAGGGAGGGGACAACAGAGGCTACACCCCCATAGTAAAAGTAATTGCACTGGCTCCTGTAGATAGGTATGTCTGTATGCACCCTAAATCAGGGAGAACTCTCCCACCTATCTGGTCAGAAAAGTTTCCTAAATATAATGGTCACAGCCAGTTTGTGATGGATGTTGAAACAATGTAATCCAAGATTAATTTGTCTTACTGTAGGTGCCAAAACATGCCCATTTCAGGCTATATCAAAGGGGACATCTGAGTGCTGCACGTTCACATAAGAGAGGAACTGATGCCTGTACCTTCTCCAGAGTAAATGATCAATATGCCTGCTCTGTAAGGACTCTGTGTGCCTCCCACCAGCTGAAAAAGGAGCCACCCTCAGTGGAGTGGTGCCTGATCTTAATGGAAGACATGTATTTGCCGTTGCATCTTACTCATATGTCCTGACAAACTTCTATTCAGTTGTGTCAGTCAGGAACACAAACTTGTCACACATGTTCATGCACTACCCCTCTCCTCCCTCCACACATGGAGTGTGCTTGAAATGTGGACTGGGAAGCCTTTAAACAAAGTGCGCTCTGACATAAAATCTGCATGCAGGTGCATGGGCAAAGTAGAGGCTGTTTCCTTTCTACAAACTGGGATTCTAAATCAGCCCAGATCAGAACCCCAGTTTGTACAGGGGAAACAAAGAGCAGTTTGCCCATGTACCTGCATTCAGACGTCATAGCAAATGTGGTATTTGCCCGAAGGCCTCCCTGGAAGTTTTCCATTAAACACCTTGTGTTAAGGGAACAGGGAATGTCAAACAAACTGTCATCGGGTATAAATGGGTTTCGTGTGACATCTGAATACGGCTGCATCACCTGAGTCTCAGATTAAAGTTGCAGCTTTATGCCCCACAAACACAAATGAACACGAGTGGTAACAGAGTATTATAAATACAAAAAATGTTCATGTGAACATCAGTTCCACTGGTGAAAGAGCCTCATTTGCTCCCACTGATATAGCAAGCAGTGGTGAAACAAATAATGTCTTAAAGAATGGATGGTTTTCCTTCTGCATTAGGAATGTACATGCTTTGGTAAGTGTGCACTGCCAAGTAGCAAATTACATCGTATTTTTAAATTCCTGAAAGGATCAAAGACAATCTGTCCTTGTGAAAGTACCACCACTACAACAGTGTTTTCCAGTCAGAAAGATTAAATGCCACTAGCTATATTTTAGGACAGCTAATTAAAGACTGTATGTAGTCATGTTGCGACACAGAAAAATTCCCCAAGCAACAGTAGTATAATTCCTTTTTATTATGACCAAATAAATGATCAAAAATAGTGAACCAGCTCTTGACCAGTTGCCTGTTCAGTACCCCCCTCAAAGGGTGGGAGTATTTTACAGCATGATGAGGAAGTCCCCAATGTCTAGTTTGTAGAATCTTAAAAATGGAATATAAGGCAGGATGTGTTACTGAGTTAGATGGATTACATCATGCTGGTTGAAATTTCCTCCCCAAGATACACCAAAGGCTACTGGGATGGAGAAACATGAAGAATGGCCATTTCCCCCCCCCCTTGTCCTAGGAGACTTTGGTATATCTTGAAACCAGTTTTGTGCCCAGCACCATCCAATCTAATCAAGTGTGTGACACAGCCTGTATCCCGTTTTTTAAGACCACTAACTACATATTTTGTGCCCCTCCATCATGCTCTGAAACAGCTTTTTCTCTCTCCTTCCCTGTACAAACATTCAGCCTGAACCCTTCTGGGGAACTTGAAAGCTTGTTCACTGTATTATGATATTTTGTTGGACCTCATAAAAAGACATCATATTGTTGTCGTTTTTGGAATTTTGCTAGTAACTGTGTAGCAGGCCTGACAGCCCAGATGAGACTGATCTTGTCAGAACTTGGAAGCTAAGGAGGATTGGCCATTAGAAGGGAAGACTGGGGCTGCTATATGGAGGAAGGCAGACAGTAGCAAACCACCTCTGCTCATCTCTTGCCTTGTGCTGTCGAGTTGCATCCGACTCATGCTGACCCCATAAGGTTCCAACTTGTGGGGTTGCCATGAGTCGGATGGGACTTGACAGCACACTTTTAGTTCTTTTCATTGCTGGAAGCCAAATATAACTATGCTGTAGCCATTTACACGTTCAAAAGAGGGGAAAGATCCCTTGTGCTTCTGTATAATCATTCATTCTTACCATTAAGAAATTTCTTCAGCTTCTGAAGCTGCCTGTTCCTCCGCAAAACTGCTCAGGGACTGGTCCCCTCCAGTCATAATATCTTGCTTTTTCTTGTCCACTCCATCACCTTCTGACGTGGCTAGAAAATGTTCTCCCATCAAAAAATGAAAGGTCACTGCAAAGGCCTCAGAAAAGACTTGTCATTTCCTGATGGGAGTGGACCCAGTCACATAAGAAATGGCACCTCATAGTGTAATCCTAAACAGAGTTACACCTTTCTAAGCTCACTGACTTCAGGTGTTTTGGAAAGCTGGCAAGGGAAAAGATAGAGTGGGCTTGAAAAATCCAGGGGAGGCTGGATATAACATGCATTCTCCTGATTGCCTCTCTCACTCAGGGTCATCATCCCTTGCTCCATGTATGAACTGCTCTGCCCCCAGCTCAGTACTGGTGCCAAATCAATATTATATGCTAATAACTGATGGTATTTGGTATCACCTATGAAAGGAGGAGATGTGGAGGCAGTGCCATAATCAACATCCATCAAATTCCTACAGCAAAGCTGAAGATTCTCTCCTTCCCTGCCCTCTAAGATAAATCATGCATTTTCTCTTGTTATGGGATTGAAATCTCGTTTAACACTGATCTGAGATTCCTGCATAATTTTGGCAGTGCCTGATCTCAGCTGAAAGCTCATGACCTTTTTAGCATTATAGTTTCCTAGCATCACTGGATGGGATGATAGATCCAGGCCCCGGTCATACGAGAGGTTTTGGGCTGGGAGAGGGACGGATCGGGGGTGGAGCAAATGGGTGCGATCCCACCGCAACATCTGAGAAGTGTTGCGCACCCATCCCCGATCCGGCCCTTCCGCCCAAAACATGGAGCAAAAATGAACCACCTACTGAGGTGGTTCTTCTGGGATGGCCGCATCAAGGCCGGCCGTGGGATCGCCGGCGTGTCCTTTCACCGGCGCATCCCTGGCTCCTGGCCGAACTGCGCATGCTCAGACATGCGCAGTTCGGCAGCCTCCCCCTCCCGACCGTCTTCCTCCCCAGCAGCTGATCGTGGGATCCCACCGCGGCATCTCTATTTTGGTGCGGCTCTAATTAGCCGCACTTTGGCCGGTGTTTTTCCTGCCGTGTGGCAAGGACCTTAGGTGGGCAGCCGTGTTGGTGTGAAGCAGTAGAAAAAAGTCTGAGTTCAGTGGCACCTTTAAGACCAACAAAGTTTTATTCAAGGAAGTGTGTGTGTACGTGAAAGCTCATACCTTGAATAAAACTTTGTTGCTCTTAAAGGTGCCACTGAACTCAGACTTTGATGGGATGAGTTAGAGTTGCCACCACTGACAAATATATAATTGGAAACAAATAATAATTGATGGTATTTGGTAGTTTATACAGAGGTAGGCTATATGAAGAAGGGGATTTGCTACTGGTTGTGAAAGGGGTGGTCCTGGATTCTTAAGACAGGGTGTGATGAGGTGCTTGTGATGAGTGACACTTCATGCGCTCAGATTTCAAAGTGAGAAAGGGGAAGTGAGGAGGGTCTCTTCAGGACACGTCTACCTTGCTCCACCAACCCCATGGTGGCACCGGAGGCTGCTGCAGACATTGTGGCGGGAGCGGTGGTCTGTCTGCCCACTGTTAGCACCAGATGGGGAAACAAAGAAATAAAGGACAGCAAAACAGGAAAGGAACGGGGAAAGAGTAAGAGAAGAGCAGAGAGAAAGAGAAGAGAAAGACAGAGGGCAAGTAAGAAGGGGAAAGAAAGGAGACAAAGGAAGCAGAAAAAGATTAGAGTTAAAGTTGAGATGAAGAGACGTGGCTACTGGTAGCAAACTTGCATTCACTTTTACACAATCCATGGGTCAATCCATCCAGTGAAGAGTTATCCTAAAACCCTCCTATTTTCTCTGCTCTGGACACCCCACACTGGCTTGGGAACCACAAGTGCACAGGATCACATATTCTGTGGGTAGCAAAGGAAGTTGCTGCTTCTATAGAAGAAAGCTACTGCTTCTTTTGGCCTCAAGGAGAGGCAGGGAAGGTTGTTTACATCTCAGCTGTTGAATTATGTCATCAGCATCTAGAAGGAATGTCAAGCTGTGAACATCAAAGAAGGATTTTTGCTGTTGGGTCTGCGATAGCTAAAGGTTCATGAAATTATCATGTGGCACAGGATGTACATGAGCCATGCACCACTTCTGTGGTTCACTTCCTGAGCCTCTTTAGAGACAAAGAAACCATGATTATAATTTATTAGCACTTTTATATCATCACTGAATTTTCCTCCTCTATGATTCTAGAACTGTTGACTGAGAAGGAGCTGCTTTGTCTCAGCAGTGGAAATGTGAATGCCAAGTATGAGACCCAGTATTAGCCAAGGAATCAGTTCACTCGGTAGCTCTACAGAATCTGGCAATTGTCACAGGAAAAAGTAACCCAGCAAATGACAGCTGGGTATTTAGGAATCATCATCTGCTTTCTAGCTGGGAGGATCAGGTGAACATTAGAATTCACTGGCTTCCCCAGCTAAAATGACAGGAGATTCAGTCATTCTTCAGAGCTAACAAAAGTATGAGAATAGAAACATCTTACGAATTTTCTTCCAATGATCGCTCTTCCATACTTTCCCTTCTCTCCTCAACACCTTTAAATGTTACTACTTTCTTGTCTTTCTGTATAACAACACCCAATTTCTGCCCAGAAATTCCAAATTCCACAAAAAGGTAAGGTAACACCTCTGTTCTGAATTATACAAACCAAATATTAATACTGGCATAATATAATTTTATAAAGTGTTATGGGATTTTGTAGGATTCCCCCCCACCACCACCTGCTTGAAGAATTTGGATTTCCTGGTTGCGGAATATGGATTTTGTTTTTGTTTGCTGTAAAATTCATGGGGCCTTGAACAGGCCCATGAACAGGGGATGAGAAAAGGAAGCCCTGTAGGAGAGTGAAGGGGGAGAAACAGTGTGAGTGGGTGGATTCTTGCTTGTGGAATCTACTCAGCCATCTTACACCCTCTGTTGTCTTGTAAAATGAAGGCACTTTTATTCAACTTCTCTAGCCAGGAACAGCAGCATATCTCCCTTGGGACCAGCACTTGGCTGCTATAGCAGGGCAAATTCTTCTCTGATTGATCAGATGGTGGTCATGAAGCAAAACAGGAAATGTCAAGAGGGAAAAAGACACACTGAATGTCTGCAAAACCAACAGAAGAGTTAATGGCCATCAGCCAGTGCCTAAGCCCTTGAGATGTCCACTCTTAACAACAGGTTTCCATGGTTTTCTGAAATTAGGATTACCTGCATACAAATCATGTAAAGAAGTATTTATATAGCTAAGAGAAATAATAGTAGTAGCAGGTGCACTGTATTAGACTTCAAGAGATGTGGGAGTAAAGAGAGTTGGGGTTAGGAGACAAGATTGACAGCAAGATCCAAAGGGTAACTCTTGGATATATCGAAGATCAGATTGAAAACAAAAGGTATTTCTCTGTGGTTACTCAATGCTCCCTCTAAGCTGTGGAGTCTTGTGAGCAAAAATTCTATTTTGTGAGTTACTGGCATTAAAGTTGTAAGTGAGCGATTTGGCTACTGCATAAATTAGTTTGCTCTGGAGCCATCCTTCCTGAGCTAAGACAAAAATGTGTGAGCTGGAGGCTAAAAAACTGTGAGCTAGCTCAAATTAACTCAGCTTAGAGGGAACACTGGTTACTATGCACACCTCATAACAATAATACAGGAGCTCCTAAGAAATAATTACAAGTGTGTGTTTGTGGGCAGGGTGATACTGTCCTCTTCCTAAATGCCAGCCCTTATGCTGGGGTGGGGGAAACTGGCAAGCCTGCATTCCAAGATCAGAAGCCTGAACAGATAATGTTGAATCAAATTGCTTTAACTGGCTGCATTGTTAAGGTTTCTGCAGGGGGATTAAAGGAAGGGAAAAGGAGGGGGAGACAATACCATAAGTCAGTCAAATAAAACTTAGAGTTCTTGAAAGAAAGTGTGTAAGAGGACACTACAGGGCACCCGGGGTTTCCTTCTGATTGGCTTTATGTGTGGAGTCTGACTGACACCCAGTCAGCAAAAATAAATTAGCTTGCACTGTATTCCTGGCTCTCGTACATAACTTTCTGCATCACAATACTACCATGACAAAGAGAAAGAGAATGGATATCACACTCCCAGGAGTGAGATTAATTAACAAAATCTATATGAGTGGAGTCTGAACAAGAGTTATGCTTGTTGTACAGCACTACCTCAATTAGAGGGGTTTTCTTTTAATTAAAAGGGGGATGGAAATGACAGCAGTGTGAATATCTTTCTTTTCTCTTCATTAAGAAAGCAAAGCTCTCACCTGAAAAGTTTCTTGTTGCCAACATAGTGGTAAGAATTGCACCCTAAAAGAGAGAAAGAAAGGAGTTTTTAGATAGGTTTTCATAGGGGATTTTTTTTAGAGTTTAAGCACAATGGAGGACTTTTAAAGAAAGAAGAGAGGAGAGAAGAGAACAGAGTAAATCTATGGAAATGCTGAATAAGCATCACTGAATGAGCAAAAGACATTTTCTACAGCCTATACCTGTGAAACTAACTGCATTTGGGTATCATGATAAACTGTGGTTTGTTTAAATTTTGCACAGCATACTCTAGTTGTGCACTAGATACAAGTAACAAATCTTGCTTTGTGCACACACCTCAGTTCGTCGGCTTCTTGCTTCCTCTCTGCCTCCCAAGAGACGAGAGACCCCTTGCACAGTCAACTCTGTGGCCAGGCAGTGCCCTTGCTTGTTGTCTTCAGAATGTTTATGGGGTGGGAGCGGGATGGGGGGCAAACAGCAAAGTTATCTATAAAGAACTACCAGTGCCATCCTAAACAGCTCTACTTGGAATCCTATTCAAGTTTTCTCAATGACGCTTTCTCCCAGGGAAGTGTCCTTAGGAGTGCATTGTGAGTAATTTATCTATAAATGTCAGTGAGAACTGCTGACCAAGGAATGGATAGATATATCCAAAGTGGTTAGCTTTATTAACATGAATGACCTCCCATGAAATCATTACCCAAATGCTAAAAGGGCAACTCCGTCTCCCCTCACTTATTTCTATTATTCCAGCCTTTGAAGGTTAGACACACCTTGTTAAATAAATCAGCTCAGGTCATATGAGGCCCTGAAATGCTGAAGATAAACGTTTGTCCCCTAGAGCTGTCCATTCTAATACTGTATTACTTTTCCCATCACAGAGCTGTAGAAAATAGGTTAAATGGTTTGTAACAAGCAGACACACACAATCATTAGCACATCATCATAAGAAACAGGTTAATTTTATAGAGGAGTCTGACCGCAACACTTCTGTGTTTAATTATCATTTCCATTTCATGCGGGATGGTGGGGTGGTGGTAGAACATTACACCTCACCTATATCCTTTTGGCAAAAAGTGTGGTATGGTGCTTGGATTTAATGAGAAAAGCACCACGCAACCGATGTAAACACTTAGAGTCACCTTGTACACGACAAAATTCCACATAGTCCATCTACAGATCATACAGTGACTGCACAAGCAGAGTCCATGGCATATACATACTCTGGGAAGTAACAACTGGTTAAGACTTCCCAGCATGTTCAACCGTCGCATGCACAATTGTCACATGTACATCATTTCCTAAATAGCAGTGCCATCAAGCAGGCATATGAGATAGTGATTATAGGACACATAGATCAAATGATTTTTAGCAAAAACCTGCTAGATTAACTGGAAACTGAAGGAAAAGGACAGGCTGAAGAAGATGAGACACACAATGGCCAAGACCTTTTGCAGTAGATGTCAAAGGGAAAGGGTGAAATTTTAGAAGACTTGAACCAGAACAAGTAGGTAAGAGAGGTGAGCTGGAATGGAAAGGTTAAATATCTTTCTTCAATATTTTTGGCAGGGTGGTGTGACATGAAGGAGGAGGGGGAGAAATGGAAGGTGACTGAAGGTTTTAGAATTGAAAGAGAGAATAAAGCAAGATAGTTCAGAATGAGAGAGGGAGAGGAAGGAAAAAATCACAGAGGAAAGGGACAAGGAAGGAGCCTATTGGAATTAATACTGGACTGTGTCAATCTTCCTTTGCCGTTGGTCAGCTTCCAGGACTCAGTTGGTGAGAGTGGAACAAGGATTGTGAGCAAAAGTATCAATCAGGAAAATAAACCAACAGCGCAATCCTATGCAGAATTATTCCACTCTGGTGTGAGTTTGTATAATGACATTACACTGTAAAGTGCTTAGCATGGATGAGAACAGAAGTGTACATGGACAGACAGAACTGTAAGCAGATTCAGCACTGGAGGCCCCTAAACATTTCCCACGCTTAACTTTCCCAGTTTTTAAGAAAACTGTACTTACCTTGAGCTTCCTTCTGGCATTGAATTTTTTCAGACACTCTACAGTCTCCTGTCTGTGCATCATGGAGGCCACTGTTGAACGTTGCTGTTAAAGGACAAAAACAGAATGTGAACAAAGTCTGCAAATTCTTCCTTGGCAACAAGAATAAATACAGGAAGAAGAAAGCAACAAAAAGGGGATGGTGGTCTTAAGATGTGCAGTGGATATTACTTCCCACAAACCTCTCGTATGCCTGCTGTATTTTTATATATTGCTCTGTCATGGAATGATTATAAGCCTGTACAGTAGCACAGTATATAAGCATTATATACTCTCAATACACTACGCAAAGGCAGTCTTGTCTGACTGCCAGACAACTGCTGCTCTCAAGAATCTGGATACTATAAGGGAACAACATTTTGGAGCTCTTTGAGTCAACATGATAAAAGTTCATTCATAATTTAGGACACAACACGGAAGATGACATGCAGCTTTCATATATGAGGCAAAACCTCTGCCCAGAACAGGATAGGGGAGAGGCTGTGGCTCAGTGGAAGAACATCTGTTTGGTACACAGAAGGTCCCACGTTCAACCCCTGGAATCGCCAGTTATAAAGATCAGGTGATGGGAAAGGCCTCATCCTGAGACCCTGGAAAGCCCCTGCCAGTCTAAGTGGACCATACAGATTTTGATGGACCCCGGGTCTGATTGTGACCATGTATGAAACTTCACCTACAAGCAATTCTGACACCTTTTTCAGGATTGCCACACACAGCATCAAAAGCAAAGTGGCAGCTGGAATCTTGAAAGAAAGGGACACAATGCGTAGATTCAGAAGCCGTTTCCTTCCCGTGATAGGCAGGTGTCAAGCACAAAGGCAAGAGAAACAGTGACACTTACACAGACCCATGGGTGTTTTAAAGCTTCATGAGCTGTGATTCTCTTTGCGGGGTTGATAGTTAACATCTGGTTTATGAGGTTTTTTGCTTCAGGGGTGACTGTGTCCCACTCCGGAGAAGGAAACTGTGGACAAAAAGAAGTTACAGGAATGTTATGCTGGAGAACACATCAGTGTCCAAGGAGGAGGGTGCTCCCATTCAGCAGGCCAGCATTTTCTAAAAAACCCTACAGCAGCTTAATAAACCAGGGACAGTCTGAGAGTCTGCCCAGGTTCCCCCATCCAGCCTGTATCATTTTTATAATTACCGTATCAGAGGTAAAGCAATATGCACATCTAATTGAGGCCTTGTGCACTATGGATTTCTAATTAATACCTGAAATCCCACACATAGTCCTATCCTTCTCTTTTAGCAAGTCCAACCAACATTATTCAGCTTTTGATTTCACTATTCCTTGAAGAAAAAGAGGCCTACATGAGCAAATGAATGAAGAATGCACTCCTGCAGTTCTGGATGGGTGGCATTTTTTTCTGAGGCCACTTCTAATACATCCTAACTGTAGATTACTAACGTGGTTCTTGTCTCACCACCACCACCAAGATCCACCTCTGATGAACTTGAAAGGAAGTGAAGCTTTAATTTAGAAGAAGAAGAGATTGGATTTATACCCCGCCCTTCACTACCCAAAGGAGTCTCAGAGCGGCTTACAAACTCCTTTCCCTTCCTCTCCCCACAACAGACACCCTGTGAGGTAGGTGGGGCTGAGAGAGCTCTTGACAGAAACTCCCCTTTTTCAAGAACAGCTCTTATCAGAGCTACGGCTTGCCCAAGGGCATCCAGCCAGGTGCAAGTGGAGGAGTGGGGAATCAAACCCAGTTCTCCCAGATTAGAGTCTGCGCACTTAACCACTACCACTTAACCAAAGTGCAGAGATTTCCTAATCATGGAGGGGGGGGGAGCAATCTTTGGAAAATTAACAGCTGGGGGGCTGCTCATTGATACCATTAGAAAAAACTCCAGCAGACATCTCAAAGTTTGAGAATCACTGCATGATTTAGAACTACATGTCCTTCCTTAAAAGTGTCTTTAATACAGAAAGAGCCTTAAAAATATGACACTCAAGACATTTCAAGGGGTACTCTAGAAATGTTATTTTTCTTTTCTCCCCTACACATTCACTCCTACCACATTATCCCACTCTTACCAGCATTACTGTGATGAGCACAAGGTTTGAAAATGTGTTTGTCAATGCAACCCGTAGTTCTGTTCTTAAGAGGCCTTGGAAATACAATCACAGGCCAGCCGATATGTTCCTATACTTCTTGAATCTCTCATGGAAACAAGATGAGTGGAGGACAGGAATTTCGCCACAACATAAATATAATGGACGCTGAATAGAAGATCAGAGTGATGAGAGTTGTTTCTGAGACATGGTGAGGAATCCAGTCGCAAGAGTTAACAGCACCCTCCACTGTTTGGCATAGCATAACCACACAGAGAAGAGTCATCATGTTGCTGTGCTGCATTTAGGACTCACTCAAATATGAGATGCTCACTCAAAGTCCCGTTAGCACACAGAAGAAGAGGAGGAGGAGGAGGAGGAGATTGGATTTACACCCTGCCCTTCACTCGGAGTTTCAGAGCAGCTTACCTTCCCTTCCTCTCCTCACCCTGTGAGGTGGGTGAGGCTGAGGGAGCTCTGAGAGAACTGGGACTGGCCCAAGGTCATGCCAGCAGCTGCATGTGGAAGAATGGGAAATCAAACCTGGTTCTTCAGGTTAGAGTCTGCCACTCTTAACCACTACACCAAACTGGCTAGAGTAACCTTCATAGCACTTGTTCCCCTCATAAATAATTTGGAGATCCTGCTCTTAACCCCCTTGGATATGTGGTGCTGGTGCTTTTCTCGGCAGGGAGATGCCCAGGGAGATGCCCAGGCATGATCACAGAATACCAAATTCTTGAGACAGATGTTGACACATAGTTCACAGTACTCGTACAGATTAAGGGGCTGCAGATTAACTCTTTAGGACATGTTCCCGTCCATGTTTCTGATCAGATGAACACCACATAAATCTGTTATTAGCAGTATCTATTATATTGCTGGCTTTTGCTAAAAAAAAAAGGGGGGGGACATTTGCTTGGTTGCCAAGTTTCTTAAAATGTGTGCTGGATTTGCACGAGGAGCAAAATGAAATAAAAGAAAGAATGGTAGCCAGAGCTGCCAACCCCAGGTGGGTGGAGATCTCCGCAATTACAGCTGATACCCAGACTACAGTGATCAGTTCCCCTGGAGAAAATGGCAGCTATGAAAGGTATATTTTATGGCACGACATCCCTGCAGAGTTCCTTCCTTTCCCCAAAACTCCAGGAATGTCCCAATCCAGAGCTGGCAACCCTAACTGTAGCACTATTTCAGGCTACTGGTGCTTTTGAATGTAAAAACTGCCCTTTTATGGTAGCCCTTTCCCTTCCTGTGTGGGCTTTCTATTTGTAGAGAGGTTTTAATACAGAGGTACAATGAAAAATGACCCCCCCACCATCACCCCTGTAGTCTATAGTGGCACAATCTGTTCTGCCATCTCATCAGTCCACCAACCTAATTTTACTGCATCTACAGACCAGGCCTGGATATGATGCACACGTCAGGTCAGCTCCAGAGCAGTTTTCAGTCTCAAATCCATCCAATACTAACTTCTGTCAAAATGGATACAAATGTGCATTTTTGCTTTAATTTCAGAAATGCTGGGTGTGTTTTGTAGATATGGGGTTGGTCCCTCCATTGTCTCTGACAAATGAAATGGTAGTAGTAGTCTCTACTGAGAGGATTAGATTATGAGGTTTAATGGGCAGTGAGCAGATTTTCAATGAAGAGATTAGGGAGAAACATATTTTACAGATACTTTTTTTGAGCCTGGACAGAGACAGTTATATCCTCATCCATATTTGTTTTTACTGCCAACTCTGAATGCAGCAAGGACAGAAGAAGAGTACCCTTCTGTATGGGAAGGACATGAACTGAAATGGTATCAGTCCTTGCTTTCTTGTCTGTGGCCTTCAGACACAGACAAGAAAGCAAGTGAACACAAGCTAGCATGGCTTCTATTAGAGACACACACCCCTTAGCACTGAATAGTATCTGAAGGGCCATCACCTTCCATACAACCCCGTCTGTCAACTGAAGTCATCATCTAAGGCCCTGCACCGGGTGCTCCCACCTTACGGAAATGGATGGTTATAGGAGACGAGGCTTTCTCTGTTATGATGCCCTGTCTATCTCATAGCCTCCCGAGAAACATTCACTTGGTGCCCAGTTTTTTGTTTGCTTCAGAACCAATCTAAACTTTTATTTGACACTACTTTCAATTACAGTATCTTGAGGGTTGGTTTTCTGTCGTTTATGTTTGTTACCTGCTGCTGCTGTTTATTTGGAATTACTTCAATGTGTAATTCAGTTTGGTGTAGTGGTTAAGTGCGCGGACTCTAATCTGAGAGAACCGGGTTTGATTCCCCACTCCTCCACTTGCAGCTGCTGGATGACCATAGTTCTGTCAGAGCTGTTCTCTCAAGGACAGTTCTGGAAAGAGCTCTCTCAGCCCCACCTACCTCTGAGACTCCGAGTGAAGGGCAGGGTATAAATCCAATCTCCTCCTCCTCTTCATTTAAAATTCAAATATTTTTTATATTTAACTTAGCCACCTTGCAGTCTACATGTTAAATACATAATGTAAATCCAAGCATACAGCACTCCTCCTTGGCTTCCTCACAAACAATTTGCCATATTTTTATCCCATCCCTCCTCCAAGGAGCTCATGGAAGCATCCACAATACTCTCTTCTATTTGATGTGGTGGTTAAGTATGCGGACTCTAATCTGGGAGAACTGGGTTTGAGTCCCCACTCCTCTCCTCGCAGCTGCTGGATGACTTTAGGCAAGCCATAGTTCTGTCAGAGCTGTTCTCTCAAGGGCCGTTCTCATAAGAGCTCTCTCAGCCCCACCTACCTCACAGGGTGTCTGTTGTGGGGAAGGGGAGGGAAAGGAGTTTGTAAGCCGCTCTGAGACGCCGAGTGAAGGGCGGGGTATAAATCCAATCTCTTCTTCTCTTCTTCTATTTTATTCTTACTCTGTCAAGTAGGCTGGGCTGATGAAAGTGTGTGACTGGCCCAAGGTCACCCAGAGAACTTTGTGACAGAATAGGGATTTGAACCCAGGTCTCACCATTCCTAGTCTGACACTGTAACCATGACACCGCACTGGCTCCTGTGTAAGCCATTGCCTATAATCAAGGCCATTAAAAATTATTATGAAGAGACATTGTGTGGACAATGTCGCAAAGACCTGAGAGAAATAAGCAATTACTCACGTCATAGGCACCAGCCTTGATCTGTTGGTACAGCTTGTGCTGATCTTCATCCCAGAACGGAGGATACCCAACCAGTAAGATGTAAAGAATAACACCTATGGCAAAGAATGGAATGATGGCAGTTTAGAAGCAAGCACCTAAGGCCTCATCTCTCTCATTCTACTACTCAGGCTTGTCAAAGGAGGAAGCTGGTAATGTATTTTTTTTCTTTCGCTTGATCAAAGATTTATATTCTGGGTGGTACTTCTTATGTTCATGACCATCTTTGTGCACAAGCCTATGTAACTGGGGTGAGGGATGCCAATTGCTTCTCTAGTCTTCTTCTCAGTGGCTCTTTGGAATATGTGCAGAAGACATACAAGAATTATTTATACGCACCCCAATCTAAATCCTTGCTTACACTGTTATAATGGAATCTGGGCATGAGGACATCTCCTAGAACTGGAGAAGCCAAAACAAGGGTGTTTTCTTAATCTTTCTGAGCAGCCTCTGGAGACAGACTTCTCCTAAAATGTTCTGTTTGTGGTTGCCTTCTTCCTTTCTTTTCTCCTGAATGTATTCTATCTTTATCTGGAGTCTCACCCTTCAATTTCAGAGAGCCTCAACAGAGTTGCAGCTTGTCAGCCCATAACAATGGCTGAACATTAAATGATTCATCCATTACATAGCTCCGAGGGAGAAGCAAATAATCTCATCCTATTATTATTAACTGGGCAGCAGATGGAATAAAGCCCCATTTACACATGCAGGAGAATGAGGTGGTAGAACACTGAGGTGGGAGAATGGATTGCAAATGGTAGATTCCAGCTGCATGCCAATAGAAATCCAGCATGGCATTGAGAAAGCTTATATTCTTCAGGTTCTAACCCACTCCTTTGTTTGCTGTGCTGGCTTTCTATCTTCAGGAGGTTTTCACAATAGGAGAGAATTCCAAAACGTTATTCTGTATGATCCTCCACTTGCAGTCAGAAGTAGCATGGCCCACTGAACCACTTCATAGACCTTCATGTGTGATGCAGGCCTCAGAAAACCCTTTGATATGTTTAACTTCCTTACTCTGTGGAAGAGCCACAGTAAGGAGTCACACACAGTTTGATCTTACCACATGCCCAGATATCCACAGGTTTGCCATAGGCTTCTTTGCGTAGGACTTCTGGAGAGAGGTAGCCAGGAGTGCCTGCAAAGCCTGAGGGGAAACAAGAGTTGCCAGAGTGTCTGGTTTGTGCAATTATTGGGTCAGGAAAGCATGCTGGGAAACGAGGAAAGGGAAGGGATCCAACCAGCACTCACCGAACCAGGCCTGCTGGTCTCCTTGCACTTCAATCGCCAAGCCAAAATCTGCCAATTTCACTGCTGCTCCTTTGCATTTGCTGGCTAGAAGCAGGTTCTCCGGCTGTCATGGTGGCCCAATTTAACATAGGATGCCATTTTAATAGAATCATGTATAGTTTTTGTTTGGTTTAAAGTAAAGAGGAGGAAAAAGAAACAGAATAAAACAACAACAACAACCAGTTTCCAGGAGCCGGTTACAATCTGCAATCAACCCCCAAAACGTATATGAGAGAGAGAGAGAGAGAAAGAGAGAAGCTATACTCTGGAGATAGCCCTGTTCCATATCCAGGATAAGGGGAAGAATATTTTAGGGCAGTCTGCTCTTGTGTGAAGCGCTGTCTGAGGGCTAAAAATTTTGACTGGCTGGTCTGCTGGTTGGTTTATTTAAGTTAAATTAAAAAAAGCTGATCTGCTGTGTCTCCCAGTGACCCAGAATCATTATCTCCCTGCTTACAGGCTCCCATCAAACTCCACTCTGGACCAGCACACAATGCTTACTGCCCTTGCAAATGGCATTCCCAGGGATTATGGGAAAGTACTCGACACATTTAGGCACTCCAAGGCTATTGCAAAGGGAAACACAGAAACAGTTCAGTTTCTTCTTTCACTCACAAGGACTGTTCTCAGGGCCGATAGACAGAAAATGTAAATCAGGCTTTTTATTGTTAAGATTAGTGCAAATTAATAAAACCTGTTTGATCTTTGTGGTATGTCTAGTTCTGCAGTCACAGATTCCTGCAAAGTAGCGGTCTAGACTGGAAAAAGGATGAACAAACTCTTTGTTTTGATTTGCATGCTGACCTGGTGTCATTTCATAGTAGGGTAGTAGCATTTACCTTCCTTTTACCTATCATGTGACATCTCCCAAAGTCCCACCAAGACGCCAGTATGTTCATTTGCAAAAGAAAATGGGGATATCAGGAGAACAGAAGGTGACTTTTGCTCATCAGGCACTGCCACAGCTAAAAGCCTAGTGTCTGGCAAGACAGACCTGCATCCCGATTAAGAGAGAGAAATATATAATATTTCCCCTGCAATTTGTGTCCACTTAAGTGATCTGCAACGGAGATGAGCACCGCAACCCTAGAGTCGGATTCGACTGGCTTTCGAGCAAGGGAACCTTTACCTTTACCTTTAAGTGATCTGCAGCCATCTCCTCTACAGGAACCTTTCTGTTGTGTATCTGCCTCCTGTTTGCAGTACATTGTTGGTGGGATTCTGTAGTTTTGTTGATGGAGAGCCAACAAGTAGAACATCCCATTTTGCAGCAGAGGGTTGGGCTGGTGATCTTATGTCCTTCAAATTCTACCACTTTATGAAGCTAAAGGAGCTCCATCTCTCGCTGCAACATGACAGAGGTGGAGCATAATTGTGCTTCCCTGGATTTCCCGTTTCCAGCTTGTAAATGGACAACAACACAGCAGACAACATTCTATTTATCAAGCATACACAAAAAAGGGCTCCCCTCCATTCCATCCTTTGCTTGGACCTTTTACTCCATCAGCTGAGATTAATTGGAAATGCTTTGTGTCACACTTTCCCTCGCGTCCTCAAGTATGTTGTCTAGACTTCCAGATATATCTGCTAAGAATCAGCAGAGACAAAGAAGTCTCTAGTTAAAAATATCCCCTTGGAAACTTTGGAAATGTTACAGTATAAGAAAAGAGCGTGTGCCAGTTCTAGCAATGGATTAAAGACAAGCTGTGTGGCTGCTGTATATGAACATGCGTCTTTGTGCAGAGGTACTGCCCTGCACGCCATGCAATTTTCTTCTTAATGCCTTTAGGAAGGACACCACAGTGAGGAACCCAAAGAGGATAAAAGCAGCCTACAAGCTCCAACTCATATACTCTACCAAAATCCTCAATGCACAAAGGTTATTTTCAAATGAGAAGCAGAGTAATTATTCTCAGGGAGTAAATCTCATTAAACACAGATTCAGGTGGGTAGCCGTGTTGGTCTGAAGCAGCAGAACAAAGTCTGAGTCCAATAGCACCTTTAAGACCAGCAAGGTATTATTTAAGGTGTAAGTTTTCGTGTGCAAGCCCACTTCCTCAGACAAATCGAAACAAAATTTCTTCTAGCCTTACATGCAGGAAGATTGGGGGGAGGGGGGTTGGCATAATCAGGAACAACCGGTCAGAGTTAAGATGCATAAGTGAAGCTGAGGTTGGATCAAGGTGGCAAGATCAATGCTGCCATTCATTGATCTTGCCACCTTGATCGAATCTCAGCTTCACTTATGTCTTAACTCTGACTGGTCCTTCCTGATGCTTCCCCCCCAAATCTTCCTGTATGTAAGTCTTGAAGAAATTTTGTTTCCGTTTGTATGCTATATGCCATTAAAGGTTTATTGAATTGAATTGAATTGAATATGAGGAAGTGTGCTTGCACACAAAAGCTTACACCTTAAATAAAACTTTGTTGGTCTTAAAGGTGCCACAGGACTCAGACTTTGTTTCATTGAACACAGTGAGAATGACTTCTCAGGCAACATGCTTAGGATCACACCGCACAGCTTTCAGTTCATTTAACACACCTTTTCCAGTCAACGTGGGAAGATAAACTAGAAAGAAGCCCCTGCAGCCTGTCCTTTTCCATTCTAAACAAGTCAAACCCCAAACTGAATTGTCTTTCCTAGAACCAGAGTTTAGAGGTGAAAGGACAAAGGTGTCCCAAAGAGAACAACATTCCAGTCTGGTGACTTTACACAAGTTTGCCACTTGCTGATCACTGCCAGCTCCAACCTCCTCCAGATACTCTGCCCCTAAAGTCTTAGTTATCACAGTGACATGGCAGCTGCTTCAGTTTTACTGGGGGGGGGGGATGCTTCCAGCAGGAACCTCTATGCCCTACTCCCAAAACATGTAAGAGACATGCTGTAGCTCAATGCTTTGCTTATTATGCTTGATCATTTCAGCTAAACTACTCCCTAATGGGACACACTAAAGTTACAGTGATTTCACGGAATACCACTTAGAACTGTCCAACTTCAATGTCAAAATCTGGTGTGCATGAAAAGACACAACACCTACCATAAATCAAACATCAAGAGTTAATCTTAACAATCCATACCACAGCTGGCCCCATTTTAAATAAAACTGAGACTAACCACAATCCTCTCTCACATACAGTAAAGCAATTCCACCACCTTCATGTTTAGGATTCCAGATATTGAGGATACCGGTAAGAAAGAATGCACCCTATGAGGCTCATTGGATGTAGACGAGACTATGTTTGGCACACAATTTTTTTATTATTTAAAATTTGTAATATGTAACACACTCAAAACAGGTCTCTATGTGCTAGTATACAGCAATTCCATGTGTACAAACTGTCTCAGAGACCGTCTTTGGTGTTCCATAATGTAAAGTGCAGATCATGACCTAAAAACCCGAAGCAGCCTAGGCCCCAAACACCTGGAAGGTCATCTCCACCCCTATCAGATCTCGAGGACTGACTAAGAGTATGCTCAGCACAGCTCTGTGAGGTAATTTAATACTTCAGATAAGGTCAGCGTCAGGAACTATGCCCACTGCCTCTACCAATACCCACTTATACTACCCAATCAATATTAATGGCCAACTACCATTGAATAATCAAGCTCACAGAACAGCACCACTTTTGGTGGCCAAATCTGTGATATGCAGAAGTACTCTTTTGTCTTAATTTACCCACTTACTTATTAATCCATCTTTCCAAGAGGCTGGGAAATGAATCAACATGTTCATTGTGTGCAAGCTGTGCCATCTAATTCTGCTTGTTTGACACTGGGGGATTTCACACCTAGAAGGCAATTCAGTGATTACTTGTACCAATATAGGGCCCATTTACTCCTATGTACAGGATGACATTGACCTAATTACCTCTACACAGTTTCTGAAGACTGCTTTTTAAATAACAGTTAATGCTATGAAAATGCTGAATGATCTGAGGTTCAAAATCATTAATCACTATGTAAAATCATTTCTCAACTTCTTTTCTGTAAATACTAGTGGAGAAAGACTGCCTTTTCCTCAGGTATGAACAGTATAGAAGTTGTACAAAGAAAATGCACTTAGAATTACTGAGGTTGCTTCCTCCCACCCCATGTGTCTGTGCATGACATAATGCCACATAAAAACCCACATTTATAATCTGTATAATAGTCTATCTTAATTTGGTAACAAAAAGAAGTACCAAATCTAAATCAAAGGTTTCATTTGATTGCAAATATCAGATCAGCACCCATCAGTAGATGTGCTGACCAAGCAGAATATATATTTTGTACCAAAGGGCCAGTACAAAATTAAATCATGTTTACATTTATTTATTTAAATGAGGGATATTTCATGCCATCTATCACAGGTAGCTGAGCACCACTATTGATTATATAAAAATACTAAGGGCAAGAGTTCTGGAACAGCAGGAGCTCAGTTTCAAATGACACAAATCTAGGTATGCAAACAGAACATTATCTGAGGGCTAGACTAAGCAGGAGAACTCATGTTTAACATTCCAACACTTTGGTTCAACATCTCCTAGAAGAAAATTCTATTATTGAGAGCCAAGTTCCCCAAACATTGTTACTACCAGCATACTGCCATATGCAGGAGGCTTGCATAAGCCATTTCAAGAATATCACACTGTGGAACACATAGCAAAATGGGCCTTGCTGCTTCAGTAACATTGTCCAAGGCTCTGGGGACATTTTTACGTACAAATTGTTCCTGATCTTGCCTCTGTCAGATTTCAGATCTTTATGTAAAACTTCATTTGGCAATTGTGAAAGCAAGGCCATTAGCTATGTAAGTGATTCAGATAAAGTGCTGGGACTTGAGTGTTATTCTAGCCCAAAATGAGCCTACTCATTAGTCAGATGCACAAAATAACCAGGCATTGTCTTTGTTAAGCAGAAGGTTAAACTATCAGAGCTTTGTTGTTGCAATTTTTGAGCTTTAAAATGTTTACCTTTGGTTCAAATTCATATTTTTCAGCCCAAAGGGAGAATATATCAGCAATTACAGTGGAGGTGGAGTGAGAGGGGAAGCCCGGAATCCTTGTAAATGCCAACAGAAACACCACATTTTTTCCCCCCAGAAAGCAGCTTTTAAGTACATCTTGCACATACAAACACAGAATTGTCATCATAAGGTTCCCCTTTATCCCGCTGCCACTCTGACAAACGTGGGCACTGCTATACCTTAACTTATGGATGAGTGTTCATAACACTTGTCAAACAGATCCTCTTTATAATATTCAATTACTCTGGGCCTACTAAACAAGTGTTGTAAAGAGGCCAAACAGAGAACAAACAAACAGATAACAAGAATCCAATACAGTAAGTGACAGAAAACGAGTAATTTGCGCACATTTGAACTAGACATAATGCATGCAAACATCTGCAGAGAAATTACATCCACTTCATCTATGGGCGACACTGCTCATGGGGAGCCTTTGCTCACACACCCACCAATGGAGGAGGAAAATGCTGGAAATGGTTGAGGGTGGGAAGAGGAATGGCTAAAGGAAAGTGGAAAAGGCAGGGAGCAGTTGGGGGGGGGGACTGAATAATGAGTTGTTTATTGAAAGCATAGCAATTCTGCTGCCTCAAGCCCTAGCACCATGTTCCCCCTGGACTGTCACCTGACAGCTGCCCAGAAATCAGCTCAGATTTGCCAAAGGGGCGGGTGGGCTACACTTCACCATGCAGCATGCAAAAGCAAAATGGTTTTGTTATAGAGATTGGGTTCTTCTCTGATGTTGTGGGGCAGCCCCAAAGCATTCAGGTGCCAAAATGAGTGACATAAACTTGGGATTATGGATGGCATGGGAATAACAGTACTAGGAATGGTTGATACCACTTGAAGAGGCAGAAAAAATGCCTTCCTTGCTTCTAGGAAGGATGGAACTGCTAGGTCCCAGCTGCATTCAAAGCCCACTTGAAAGAAACCAAAGTCCACTATGAAGGGGAATATCCTTTACTTTAGGGTTCATCCAGAAGGTCCTGAGGGTCTGTTTTTTTGTTCGTTTGTTTTTGTAATAGCATGTGGCTAGAAACATAAGAACCATCCCAGTAAATGCCACAACAAGCAAAAGAAGCCAGATATGGAGATAATGCAGCGCACGCTATATCTGCTCTGGCTCTTCTTGGTCATGTGGATTGGCAAGGACTGGTGAGCACTGATGCACAGTGCTGGGATCAGGACCCCATAAAACAGCTTTCCAGTTCCCTGAAATTAGAACCTTCTGGATGACCTCTTGAGTGTGATTACTCTGCTCCATATCTCTAAGCACTCTACCTCACTTCTGGCTTTAAATTAAGGTGCAGTTTGTGATTTTACCACTGAGTGGCAACAAAGCCCAGGCAAACTCCCCCCTCCCTTCCACCCAAATAACCACCTCTACAAAAGCCCAGAAGTTCAACTCTGCAAGACTGTGGTAAGCACCGGTTCCGTGATCACAACTGTGCAATAAACTGTATAAAGTCTGTGAGTGCCTCAGGTTCCACAATTACCTCCAAAGGGGGCTAGAAGATGGACAATTTCTTCTTTGTGGATTGGCAGGTTTGACCAAGTGTATTGGGCTATGGCTCCCCATTGGTCAGCTGTGCCAGAGATAGAATCACAGCAAAATACAGATGCTGGTATCATTAAGTATAATACAGATGCTGGTATCATTAAGCTGATTTCTGACTGGGCTGTCTATGGAATGTCCCAGTTCAAACACTGCTGGTTTTACATTGGCCTGTTTCCCAGAAGACCCTACATTGGGATTTTAAGGAAATTTGATCTGAACAACTCAGAACTGATTCACTTCTTTTTCAGGAAAAAAACACATGCAAAGATACAAAGACGGACAGACGGACAGAGCAGTGGGGAAGAAAACTCACCTTGAGGTCTCTGTGGACGACCCCCATTTGGTGGCAATGGAGAACAGCCTCCAGGATCTGCTGGATGCAATGACTGCATGCAAACACCAGGGGGCGTGTTAGTTCACGGTGAGTGGTAACAACCACACAGGCTGGTGGGGGGGAATAATGGGGGGAAAATAAGGAAAGGGAAGAGGAGGAGGAGGAGGAGAAGGAACAGGAAAAGGAGGAAAAGGAGAATGGAAAAATAAAGGAATCTGACTCCCTCTCATCTCTTATGCTAACTGCAAAAGGAGAAACCCCAAGATACAGACACAAACCCTAGAAAAGTGAGAATAGAATTTTAAAAGGGGGAGTTACCTCCCCCCCCATAAGAGGAAAAATTCAAAGCTGACTGAAATCCTGAGTCAAATCACAAATGCAAAAGCAGATGGGGTGGGTGATCATCACCAGTGTGGATGCTGTGCTAAGGACAGGGAAAATAACAGAATCACTTGGGAGATCAGTGATCTCTTCTCTCTCCCTCAGTAATGTCTTCTACCCTGTTCAAGGGCTCCTTACCTGGAGAAGGTCTCCCAACCTTGTTTTGCTAAAGGGGACTGACCAAGCTTTACATTCACATGACTGCATATTTTGTTCATATGCTTGTTTTCCATTAGGTTCAGTGCATCCATAGGCATTTTTAAATTGGCACACATTTAAATGAATTGTCGGGTGCAGCAGCTGGTAGGTTACTTCTCCCCCATGGGGAAGGTGACAACCCTAAGCCCAACTAAAAAGTGATGTACTTCTTTTGAGACTGCCCCTTTATTCCTATTCTCACAAGGAAGGCAAGAAAACCATTAAACTCTGCTTCAGCAATGCCACCTTTAAGAAGTTCAAAAAGGAACACAACAGCACCAGTCCCCCCCCCCCCCAGGATGAGAAGTAACACTTGGAGCTCCTCTGTGTCTTGGAATCCTTATAGCCCCATTAGGCTACACAGAACTAAGGAGGACGCTGTTGGTTGTAGTGCACTGTGAGATATGATAGTTCTTTGTCCTTCTGAAGCATTGGGAAATCTTGTTAACATACAGGTGTGTATTTCCTAAATGAATATACTAAGAAACGAAGGTCAGACATAACCAAAGAGTCCTTGAAGTAATCCATCTTCTCCCCTTGCCACAAATTGTTCATTCGTAGGAATGGGCAAAACCAAACTACAAAGCAAAATTTGTAGTCGATTTTGCCCTGATCCTGGTTTGCGAAAGGTCTACAGTCACAAATTTCCATGAACTTTTAAAGCAGTTTGTGGTGGTTCATGGATAGAGCAGAAGTCAAGGGTTTAAAGGAACTCTGTCCCTTTAAACCCCTGCTTTCTATACTCCACAAAAGCTGCCTTGCTCCCTGCTGCTCAGCTGTTTTGGGCTTTCTTGTGCAGTCCCTTTAAACTTCAAAGGGCCTGTACAAGAAAGTCCAAAATAGCTGAGCAGCGGGGAGCAGGCTGCTTCCTTCTGCTCAGCTGTTTTTCGGGCTTTCTGCAAACCTCCTTTAAAGGGACTGCAGTCCCTTTCAATGAGGTTTGCGGGGCCACAAACCAGTTCGGTTTGTAAATGAACCTTCCAGTTCAATTCGTTTCATGCTTTGGCCACAAACCTACACAAACAACATTTTTTTGGTTCGTGCCCATCCCTATTCATTTGCAGATAGGCTGGATCCAGTTAAACTGTTCTCCATTTGGTACAATGCTGTTGGCACAGTCAAGAAAGCTGTCATGCATTTCTACCCTGAGTACCGTATGTAGCCATTGAAGCAGACAACACTGGTAGCAGCTCCTAAAGCTAGGCTCTATTATTATTATGAAGTGTCATAGTCAGATATTTGACCAGTAGATGGTGTTCTGCGATTTGAGATCTAGCCAAGTTCTTGGGAACTGCAGATGTATCTTTGCAGGATTCCAAGGGCTTCAGTGACAATTGGCACAATGGTAACCTTCTTCTCCCAGAGGCACTCTAACTCTATTTGACTATTATTATTATTATCATTACTACATTTTTATCTTGCTCTTCATCCAATGAGCTTTGAATTGCATGTGTAATTCTCCCTTCTCCATTTTTTCCTTGCAGCAGCCCTATGAGGTAGATTAGGTTGAGAAAGTGTGACTGGCTCAAAGTCACCCTGCAAGCCTCAGGGCAGACTGGGGATTCAAACTTGGGACTCCCAGATCCCAGCCTGGCACCCTAAGCATCTCACCACACTGGCTTCCCTTTTAATGAAGCTCTGTATTTACAGAGCCCCAGCTGTGCCTTTACTGTCTTCTGAAAGAAGTTAGGGGGCTTCAATCCCTCAAATGCCAAAAGAGGGAAACATTTACTTGAGAAAGGTCTTCTAGCACATCCACCTGCTTTAGGTTGCTAGTCCAAACTTCTGGGAGCACATAGCAACAGCCTCTCAGCCCTTTTTTGACTTTCCCATCAAAATAGTTTGCTTCCTTGAATATCATCTGTTTTATTAAGAGTTCTCCATAGAAACCAGACATTGGTCAAGCAAGTGCAGAAGGGGAAGGAGAGACTTCTAGTAATGGATCTGAAAGAACTACATTACTGGCAGTGAGAAGAAGACATAGGTGCATACGGCACAATGGTACACAAATGTCATGAATGACATTTGCCTCCAGCAATTCTATTCTCCAGGAACGCAGTACAGGCAGAGAAAGAGCATTATGTACAATGTACCTCACTAAGAAGATTACGAGTCACCATTCTACAGAGAGAGCATAAAACTGAGATCCTCTACATGCTGATACATGTCCCACAGGTTCCGTGGTGAATGTGGGGAAGACTGCTTAGGCAATTCTTGTTAATAACAATTCATGAGAACAATCCATATTCTTGGAAAACAAAGACCTGGGGCTTTCTTGGACTATCTTCTGAGAACGGGGTGGGGGAGGCCTGGGTTTGAAAAGACTGAAGACTCCTGCCTATTTCCACAGTCTGTTTTCTAGTAACTCTTATGGAAACATAATGTGTGAAAACAATATGTCTCTACCTCAGTGGCTCTCAAACATTTTGAAGTACGACTCATTTCTAAACTTACTGCAGTTTTCAGGATCCAATCTATTTGCAAAATAATTACATGCTACTGTCCCCTTCCCTAACAAAGAACACAGGAACTGCAGATTAGTTAATCATAAACTCGCTTCTATTTTATTTTTCAGGTTTATTGTTTACTAATAGGCTGTTTTATGGCCATTTCACATAGTATGCAGACAGAAACCAACATTTGCCATCCAGCCTTTCCAAGCATCCTCTTCTAGTTCATCCTGTTCTTACTCCCCACTCCTGCCCTTGTGATCCACCTGTAAGACAGTCATACTCACTTCTGGGTCCTAACCCATAGTGTAGTAACCACTGCTTTACCCTAACATGTAAGCCTCTGGAACTGGCTGACAGACAGGGTGGTCCTAAGAAGATAGTTTCAGGGGTTAGCCGTGTTGGTCTGCAGTGGAACAAATAGATTGGAGTTCAGCAACACCTTAGAGCAACACCGTAGAATACCCTGAAAACCTTTTTGGTCTCTAGGCTACTATTGGACTCAAATCTAGCTGTCCTAGGAAGAGTGAAACCCTTAGGAGGGTTCAATTTTACTTAGGATTGCACTGGAAGTCAGCAAGTTATGAGTACACATTCGTTCATTAAACTTCCAGTGACTAGAAAACTGAGTATGAGCTGGCCTTCTGTCAGCATTGAGGCAGCAAGGGAAAATGTTAAGGAAGTCAGGACAGCATAATGTCAGTATAGCCCAGTAGGGGCTTGGATAGGTGCTTAGAAGCTTAGAGAGAGAGAAAAAACTTTCCCTCCTGGATGGTAAAATTTAAAGTTGCTCTGAGCCAACTGGGGAGACCGAGACTATTTTTGGGTATCGTGAGTGTGATAGAACAGCACTACCAGTTTCACAGATATGCTAGGGAGGAGGTTGTTGAGTAGCCAGCAACACAACTTCAGTAGAGGGAAATACACTTTTTGGGTTCACTACCCTCAGCCCAAGCCACCCTCAAAGTCAAAAGTCCCACAGAGTTCTTTCCATTCAAAGGGCCATTCCACACAGTACGGCCCAGTTCAGACAGATCAGCAAATCACAGTTTGGGATGATGTGAATGTGCCCAGTCCTGCATGTACCTGTTCCCTCAACGTGCAGCAAACCGACAAACTTTTGCAAAACAGAACTGAAAACTATGAGCAAGCCATGACTCATAGTCTTGGTTTGCAGGGAAAGCACAAATCACAGTTTGCATCTTTGGATGAAATGGAAGCTATGGTTTGCTACAAACTAGGAAGGGACAGAAGAAGTTACAACAGCCGAGGGGGCAAGGGAGAAGGATAATGGAATATATGAGCCCAAGGCTTAGCCCAGGCTGCTCTACCCAACAGCACTACCTGGTATGAGCACATCTAGTAGAGAAATATAGACATTCAGTAGGATGGGAACTGTTTGTAGCTTTTAATGATCTTAAGTCAAGTTTTGATTCAATTTCAAGGGAATTTCTCTGGAAGAAGCTTGCAAAATCTACATTGGAAAGAAGACTGTTACACCTTAAAAGGTGTATTTACTCAAACAACTCAGTTGATGTTCACTGTGTTCTAACAAAGGGCACCTTACTAATTCCATCCCCATTACCTGAGCTGTATAATAAAGGTGCATACTTGTTCCTTTTCTGTTTAATCTCTATTTAAACAGTCTGATCCCCATTCTAAAAAAAAAAAGTTGATTTTATCCTCCCAAGTCAGCTGACAACTAAAATTAATATTTTTCTGCATGTTGATGTATGCTTTCTCAAACCAGACTGGGTTCTCACATGTACATAAGGAATTCGCAAAGTAATACAAAAAAGAGCACTTGGAAATTGATTACAACAAAACTAAAGATACCATCTTTTCAAACACCAGAGTTAAATTTAACTGGCCTCTGGGTGGGCATCTGCTGGAACAAGTTTAGTCCTATAAGTATTTGGGCACTGCATTTCACTCTTCTGGTAACAGGGTCTCCACACCTCCAACATGCACAATGCTGAACAATCTGCTTGAGCAATTACTAGAACCTATTATGTCAAAGGCA